TCATCTTTTTATTATGAACAAAAAGGTGTCTTATCTTGTCACGCGTGTCTGTTCATCTTTTTATTATGAACATACTAGTGTTTTATCTTGCCATGCATGTCTGTTCATCTTTTTATTATGAACAAAAAGGTGTTTATCTTGTCATGCGTGTCTGTTTACCTTTTTATTTATTGAACAAAATGATGTCTATCTTGGCTTTCCAACTGCCTCTGATGTAGACGCGCGTCTGGCGTAGCAAATGATAAGCCTTTTTAATACGTATATTTGATGAATTTTAACAACTACAAGGTCGATGCCACTACTGGTTGAAGAAGATTGTCATTACAATGAACAAAAAACGATAGAAATAGAAAACAAACAAAAATCTACAAAACAATACACACGAATGTAGAAAGTGATTCACACGAACCCTCCAATAATTTAAATGTGAAGTGCTTACAACAACGGATTTGACCTTGATGATATTTCACAAAAAATCATGATAACATGAAAACCAGAACGTCATTTTTTTCTTATTTCTCTAAACTGAATGCAAAATTATAAAACAGTTGCATTTTACTTTTTAGTATTTTTCTGATTTTTATATTCATTTTCTAATTACAAATACATCGATCTGAGACCATAATATCGATCCCCTACCCATATTCATCCGGATTTATTTTAGCCTTACCAAGCTAAGCAAGAGTTGTGTCCCTTGGTCTGTCTAACTTCCGGTTTTCGTTTGAGTCGAACTACGGGTATCTCGAAATATTTTTCAGGTCCGGCTGACTTCGAGATAACGAGAGTCGACTGTATAACCATATTTTTTTCAAATAAAAGATTTTTTTCCTGAATCTAGGGCTTTGCCCTCTTCTACCAGGTACGCCGTTAAGGTATAGTGTACTGTCGAATCTGATAATAACACAGACGACAACCGACTGTTAATAAAATACATTTTTATAATAAATACTAATTGCATCAGTTGTATAATAATAACAATCATTAAAAATATACACATATGGCAAAGAAATAACAATCATTATACAATAAACACATATGGCAAAGAATAACAATTATTATACAATATACACATATGGCAAAGAATAACAATCATTATACAATATACACATATGGCAAAGAATAACAAACATTATATAATAAACACATATGGCAAAGAATAACAATCATTATACAATATATACATATGGCAAAAAATAACAATTATCATATGATAAATAAGCAGAAAACTACATATTACGAATCTTTTCAAACAATTTCCTAAATAACTTAGTTATTTCACATTTTGAACTGAAAACAACAATATAAGTTAAAAAGATGATGTTTTTTGCCAATCATATTTTTTGATATATTGATTTCTAACATCATTAAAAAAAACCAATATATATGCATATATCCACTAATTAATCAAGACAAAAAAGGTGTCAGGTAGTATTTAGATTGTAAGAATTCTGGCAAATGAAAACGCATTGATAACATGTACTTTATCCTCATCAAAACCTTACACAATTTCCAGACAAATCCTATGCAAATGAACAGTTTCATATTACAATGTTTATCATATATGCTTACAAAAGAGAGGTGGAAATAAACATTCAAACTTATAATCAATGGAATAAGTGAAAAAACAACTTCCTAAATTTCTGACTATGTACAGGCATTTTCCGAAAAAAAATTGTGGGTCAAACCTGGTTTTATAGCTAGCTAAACTTCCAACTTGTATGACAGTTGTTTATATTCGAGCGTTTGATTTTGCTAGGTTTTATGGACTTATCCTTTTTTGAATTTACCTGGGAGTTCGGTATTTTTGTTTTTAATTTTTTGACGGTACATGCAGCCACGGTTGTCCGGAATGTGGATGTTTAATCTGATTATACGGGTAGGGTAAGTGACGTCAATACTCCTGAATATGCATGCAACGATTGCCTTTGGAGTTAATTAATCGACTATTAATCAAGCAATCTTATTATTCATATCTGAAATCAATTTTTACATTATAACATTTAATATATTGTCAATGAAGGAAATAAATTAAGTGTTCAAAGGGAGATAACTGTTATATTTCTAATAAAATGTTTTTAAAATGTGCTTATTTTAAATTTGCCATCATTTGCTGAAAGATGATGATGGTATTTCAGTTCAATGGATAAAAAAAAAATGAAAATTAGGGTAGCCGTTTCGAGAAAAACCCTTGATATTTGAGTTGCGTCGTATAGAAATTGACCTTATGCAAATGAATATCAATATCTCTTATAACTTATTTCGGGTTAAAAATATCACAACGGAAAATTTGTAACTTTTGGAAAATTGAGTTGGTATAAGAACCCTACAAAACAGACCAAAATTAATCTTTTATTTTTTATTTTAACGTTATTAAATCAATCAAAGTCCTATACAAATAACAGATCATGTTAACGTGTACTTGCATAAAGTTGACGCAGATAATTTATTAAATGGAATATTAAGTCCATTTCCCAAAATTCAAATTGGAATTTTAAAAATAGATAAGACTAATAATTCTAGAGACACGTTTTCTGTACACTTTTAAGAATACAAGTAAATACAACCCAATTGTTTTCATTGAAATTGTAGTCAGAATAAACGTCAAGTTCAGTGAGGACGGAAGTTTTTTCCGGTAAAATGAACGTCTCAAGGACACACTATAATAGCTTTTCTCAAATGTAATTGTTAAGTATCTTGTTACCCATTTGATGATATTATCTTTTACCTAGTAGTCGATTACCTATTGCGTGACTGAAATTCAGTTTAAGCAAATATTAACAATGATTATCTTAAAAGAATGTTTTTGTATTCAAATTATGAACTTTATTACTATGATGAAGGTTTTTTGCTGGTTAAATTGTAAGTAACTTCTATACGAGAAGAAAATAGTAACAAAACTGTATTCATATTTTAAAGAGACAATCTGTGTTTGCTAGAAGATATTCTTTACAAGTGCGATGCGTTATAATGAATTTAAATTATACAATCAAGATACGTGAATAATAATCGAACCTGTAACATTTTATGACTTCTGAAGAATTGATTCATTTATGTAAAATGAAAGAATCAATTTTACAGATTTTCACTCGTTCCCTTGGTTGATAACGTTTGATTTTGTCAGTTTTTATGGACATTTCCTTTTTATACGCCCTTTTACTGGACGTATGATGGTAAACCGTTGTCCGCCTGTCCGTTTGTCCGTCCGTCTGTCCGTCCATTGTCAACACTTCGGACAATAACTCAAAAACGCTTTCACCAATTTGGATGAAACTTAGGTGATATGTTTATATTTATTGGCGTAAGCTCGCTCCTTTTCAATTTTTTTTTAAATTTTGGATTTTACGTATCTGAGTTATAGGACTTTTCTTTATAACAAAATGGGGGATTTTCAAGTTTTCTGACTACAACTCAAAAATGCTATAAGCAATTTTCATGAAACTTGGGTGAATTGTTTATATATATATGACATAAGTTTCCTTTCAATTTTTAAAAAATCTGATTTTACGCTTTGAAGTATTGGGACTTTATTCATAAAAAGGGGGTGATTTTTCCAGTTTTCGGACAATGACTCAAAAACGCTTTGAGCAGTTATCATGGAACTTTGTTGACTTGTTTATATCTATTGAAATAAGCCCCCTTTTTATTTTTTTTTATAAATTTCTAATATGACATTGCAGAGTTATGAAACTTTATTGGTTGAAAAATTGTTAAAAACTGTCAATTTTTCACACTTTCGACGGTTACAGAATTATATTCTTTCACAAATCAGGGCCTCAAACCTAGTTAAACTTGATGTAGTCTTAATAGTGCCAAATTATTCATGTTTTGTGTCAATTGGTACCACTGTGTGTGTATGTTTTTTTTTCTTCGAAATTTAGATAAAGGAAACGACAGATACAGTTACGTCTGTCTCATATCATTTCTATGTAGCAACATTCCAGTAGCGCCTGCATACGGAGTATATCTCTAGTTTATACGATAATCGAGGTCTCACATGGAAGCTATAAACCAAGAGTTCCAATTGGTGAAGTTGATATCATCCCCATCGTAAATTTTACGGTCGCCATCACGTATGAAATATCTGTTTCACAGATGACAACGGGTATGTTCCAATTATCGTAACTTCAATCCTGGCCCCTTTTTCTCGAATGTTACCTACCTAATTAGACTTCTCACTGGGTTTGTACTTACATGAGCTACACGACGGATGACACATGTGGAGCAGGATCTACTTAGCCTTCCGGGGTACCTGAGATCACCCCAAGTTTTTGGTGGGGTTCGTGTTGCTCAGTCTTAAGTTTCTATGTTGTGTTTTGTGTACCATTGTTTGTCTTTTTGGTCTTTTTCATTTTTAGTTTATAGTAGCGTTGTCAGTTAATTTTCGACTTATGAGTATGAACGTCCCTTTGAAATCTTTCGTCTCTCTTTTACTGGTTTTACCTTTAATAGGAACGATCAAATCAAAGCAACTGAAAGCCGTGTACAATATATTCATATAAACTCATACTCTGGTCTCTCAGAATACTGGATTAAAGATATTAAACAAGGCTTTTGTAGAAGATTATTGTTATTATACGTTTAAATTCAAAATGTATTTGATATTTTTCAAGAAAATACCACAACATTTTGCGGATCTCTTTAATTTTGACAATAAAGTCAATGGTGCTTCGAGAATACCAGTTTTATCTCGCTTTGCACAAGCACAGGATCCTGTTGTTTATTCTTTGTCTTCTGCGCTTAAAATTTATGCATTTTATTTGGTCACATTATTTTTCCTCTTTCAACGTATGATTTCATTCTTAGTTGGTATTCATAATTGTAGTGCTGGTTGTACAGCATGCAATGTGCGAATCAAAATAACTGTTTATAAATTTGGTTCATCCGACACACTTTTGTGTAATTTTAACTTCTTCCTCGTGGACGTTCCAAATCCGAAAAATTAAATGCTAAAATAACTAAGACGCTACATGATTGGTAGGAAATAAAATGAAATAGCAAGATGGTTCTTTAGAGTTTTTAATCATCTCAAAAATAATCCATTGAGTACTTAACAGAATCATATATGTGTCGAAGCACTGATAACTAAGCTGTTGCTATCATTTCGCACTAGCGGTCAACCAGCAGCGGTATCAGTCCATTGCTAGACAAGGAAAACAAGACGTTGTTAACTCGATGCGTTGGAAGCGCTTTTCATGATTAACGTTCACTATGTGAACGCTTGTACCCAAAATTCGAAAGCCAAGGATGTCTAATAAAGGCAACAGTAGTATACCGCTGTTCAATAGTCATAAATCGAGTAAGCGAAAACAAATCCGGGTCACAAACCAAAACCGAGGGAAACACATCAACTATAAGAGGAAAACTAAGGATTAATAGAAACACTGAACTGCAACAAAAACAAACGCCAACATACATAGAAACGGACTATTTGATAACAACTGCCATATTCTAAAGTCTATAGTCTAAAGACTTAAGCTTGTGGAACTTAATCCTGTATTTGCACAATAGAGACTAAAACATCTTTTGTTTTATATTTTCTAATTTTATCAACGGAGGTATGTCACGAATCGTGGAAATGCTCCAACGACTAATGGGAAGGTGACGGAATACTGAGTTTCTCGTTTGTCAGACATCCTTTGAACTTTACTGATATTAATCAAATCTTAGTCATCAACTGTAAAAAAAAAGAGAAAGAAACCAATTGGAAAATCAAATTAAAAAAATCGAAGAGAAACCATGGCAACAACAAAAAAAAATTACAGTTTACAAAATAATTCACCAAAAGCTATAAACTGAGCAACATGAAACCCATAAAGATTGGGGATGTACTCTTTTCAAAAATAATAATGGAAATTGATTTTGTTTGATGAACACACATACATTTTTTGCAAGGCGATTGTTACAGCGTTGATATAATAAATTCTCAATTAATTTAATGCCTTTGAGATGAACGTCACATTATATGTAATAAGATACGCTTTGAATGTGTTATATTCAAATGTAATAAGATAACTCATGATTTAATTTCTATAGTGTACGTAAAGTTTTTAATTTATACCAGGTGAAAGTTTAGTTGTCCACTAAAAGCTACACTATATTTTCGCAGAACTATGAAAACCATTATTTGCAACTGAAAATTGATAGTTTGTATCCTTTGTTAAAAATAATGATTTCCTCCAAAATATCAACTGATTTCTATATTGACAGTTAACACTTACGCATTGGTAAAACTTAATCGTTGTTTTTATGAATAAAAGGAAAGTGTTTGCCGAAAAGGAAGTTATTCAAATTATCGTTAGAAATGCTTCTCTACTTGTACCTGCATGTGTATTAATCAAATGAGATTTCGGCAATAAATGTTAAATACAAGTTCTTTTTCTGTTCCTACGATGATGATGATGGATGGCTGCCTAACGTCCAGCGGCAAATTGATATGCATCTTCAGGACGATAACATGTTAATGTAATATGAATATCAACCCTGTTTTGTACTAGACCGACACGCTGAACCGGATGTTTAACGTGCTAGTTCACAAGATAACAGTTCGCAGGAAGACATGTCACCTTACCCGGACACATTATTCTGACTCCGAGCCGACCAGTCTTTGCTCTTACATCTTAAAGGCGCGTGCCAAGCGGAGAAGCAGCAAATACCAATTTTAAAGTCTTTGGTTTGACCCGGTCGAGGTTCGAACCCACGACCTCTCGCACTCGAGGCGAACGCGCTACCACGAGACCACCCTACGAAGCTCATTCGTTAATAAATAACTGCAACGTAAGCATCATGTGTATTGCTTGTTCACTAATGTTTCCTATGAAAGTAATAACTTAAACATTGTTTTTCAATGCATCGGACCATCCATTCATATGACTGTCATATAATTTCAAATATGAGGCAAGATTCATGCTGAGGGTGTTTAAAAATATACCTATCAAATGTGTCCATTCAACACAGTTGACTTTATAGTCCGTTGCTGTTCGTCAATAGAGTCAAACTCCCAAGTATATATGTAAGAGTAACGTTCCAACTCAGCACTTTATCATGCTACTGTTTCCTGAAAAAAATGAAAACAACACTTTATAAATTTCATGCGTCCGAAGCGCTTTTCTGGATTTACCTTCATCAGGAACGCTCAAAGCCGAATATTTGAAAGCCAAAGATGTATAAGGACCGAGAATGTTGAAGAGCAATAAACCAAATAGGACCTAAAAATAGTCAAATCCATCTAGGCCAACTTTGCCTGAGGGAGTTGCCTGAGGGAGCTGGAGTCTTTCTATCTATTGCCTCATGTTTATAACCACCGTTATTACATACCATGAATATTGACAAATGGAATGAACTTTTTCCCGTTGCTATGTAATTTGTGTGTTGATTGACAAACTGTCATGTACACAATTAAAATGAAAGAAGATTAGTAGTATACATAAGTTACACAGTTATCTATCCATTGGCACACAAAAAAAAATAACAATAACATCTACAGATCGGCACAGAGTCAGTAATAATAGACAAGTGTCAACCAATAAATAGAACCGTGTCTAAAACAGAACAAAAAAAAAACCAAAACAATTGGCAAGACAATCAAAGATGTGCTGTCAACACCAAGTTCAACAAATAACAAAATGTTAAGCAATACATTGAGACAATTATTTTCGTCCCACCTGTTAATCCCAAATGACTCACAAAACTATTAACATCAATTTTATCATCAATAAAGCAGTCTTTGGAGATACTGTTAAACTACCCACTCTAACGGCAGTGTTAATGAGATGTGAATACTGATAAATTGGAAATATCATTATTTCTCATTAGTTGCTCACTAAATTTTGTCAATAAAGTAGAACTATAAACAACTGTCATACAAGTGGAAGGTTATGCTAGCTGTAAAACCAGGTTTAACCTACCATTTACTTTGGAAAATGCCAAATTAGTAATATGGCAATTGCTTTCCATTCGTTCCGTTGGTTGATAAAGTATGATTTTGTAATTTTTGATGGACTTATCCATTTAATTGAGTTTGATATTTTTTTATTTTTTTAGAGTGCATGCAATCTGAATCTCTATCCTCTTGCAATAATAATAAACACGTTTGACTTTTCCACCTTTTACACTCGTATACCCATTCTAAACTTAAAGACAGATTGAAACGACTAGTCCGAAAGAAATGACAACGTAGTTACAAATATTCTATTTTTTAAAAGGACCAATCATACTTTGTTACATATATATATGTTTTAATTAAGCCATTGTCAAAAAGTAGGAGTCACACTATAGATACGTTCGTTTCGCTGTTAACACAGATATATAAATCAGTTCTGTGAAGGATGTCAAGGTTTCATGCATTACACTAGTCCTGACCAACTGATTTCACACAAAGCCATTTGAGTATGGATGATAATAGATGATATGCAGATTTAAGTTTTCAGTACAACATATATCTTCATATTTCGTTACCTTTAGATATCTTCAGAAATCATAAGGTTATGTTTTGACATAAACTTTGGCATGTTGAATATTCTCTTTATTCCCCATCTTTATTGTACTTTTCTTTGCTCATGTTTCTGTAATAATAGAAAAAAAAAAAACAAATAACAAATAACTCAACGTACAACGCTAGGCCGAGTATTCCTGTGAAAAGTCACTGGATAACCAAGGAAACTACCCAGTTAATGCATAAGTATACGTAGTTAGTTTACCAAATCATTAATACAATATATAAAGAAAACATGATTACGGAAATTGTACTGTTTGTCCGCCTTTGTTTATTAGTAATAGTTACTATCATTGACCCCGGCCATTCAGTTACACACCACATCCAGCCGTTGTTTTCTTCATACACTAATATATATTTCTGATGTATATGGTCATAATATGTCCATGAACAACGAAACCTTTTTTTACCACTCTGCATTGTTTTAAATTTATTCGTTCACAAGTGTATCATGTTCCTACTACTCACAGCTTGATTGGACCATTATAACATTCATGATTTATATATACAGTGAAACTTCTCAAAACCGGCCGCCCGTCGGACCACGGAATACGACCGGTTTTCAGGGGTGGTCGGTTTGTTGAAATATATTATATAAAAAAAATCAAAACAATAATCATGAAATTTGTACAATTTAGAGAACATCAATAAATATGTTAAACTTTTACTCCAACTTTGTGTAGTTTAAGCTACACAAATATTTTTTTTTTATAGAACATCAATTAATATGTTATACTTTTACTCCAGCTTTGTGTAGGTTAAGCTACAAAAATATTTGTTTGTCATGCATCCGATTTCACCTTGATAGATGCACACGCCTGATGAAGCTAGTTTGTCTAGCGAAATATTGCGGATTTCTATTTAAAATCTAATAGAACTTTTTAATGTATCAATTAGAGTGTTTAAGTTATATTCTTAGACATTTATATAATTTTAATTCAGTAACTGTATCAGTTTATTTTCACAAGCTGATCCACGCCTAAATAGATTGGATGTTGATTGTTGCTATTTTTTGACATTATATATATTATATATATATATATATATGCGTAATAGAATTTGAAAAGATGATATAACTGTAATTGTTGGTTTTTTAAACTTTTAACACTTTTTGTTTAAACATCTGTAAGTGACACTTTTTGTTTAAACATCTGTAAGTGACACTTTTTGTTTAAACATCTGTAAGTGACACTTTTTGTTTAAACATCTGTAAGTGACACTTTTTGTTTAAACATCTGTAAGTGACACTTTTTGTTTAAACATCTGTAAGTGACACTTTTTGTTTAAACATCTGTAAGTAACACTTTTTGTTTAAACATCTGTAAGTAACACTTTTTGTTTTAACATCTGTAAGTGACACTTTTTGTTTTAACATCTGTAAGTGACACTTTTTGTTTTAACATCTGTAAGTGACACTTTTTGTTTAAACATCTGTAAGTGACACTTTTAAAATGTAGTGTACTTAGTCAATGATAATTTGACAGCTCAACTTTCCTATTGTAACTATTCGGTGAACGAATCAAAAATAGCAGGAAATCATTTGCACGTTTCGTCTGCATAAGACTCATCAGTGGCGCTCCAATCACAACAGTTGAAAGGCCAAAAATAAAAGGTATTTTGGGAATATTGTCTCTTGTGCAGCCTTCCCTCTTTAAATTTCCAAAAAATGGAATCAATAAAATGCTTTTATCAATTCTAAGCTCCGAGACACTGCAATTGTTAGAAGGTGATATTTTATGTCCTGTAACCATTAAATGTCACAAACCTTACATTACAATTGAGTCAATATTGGTTATTATTCTAGCCCTTTTTTAGACACCTTTTTACACTATAAAATTGAGAATGGAAATGGGGAATGTGTCAAAGAGACAACAACCCGACCACAGAACAGACAACAGCAGAAGGCCACCAACAGGTCTTCAATGCAGCGAGAAATTCCTGCACCCGGAGGCGTCCTTCAGCTGGCCCCTAAACAAATGTATATACTAGTTCAGTGATAATGAACGCCATACTAAACTCCAAATTGTACACAAGAAACTAAAATTAAAAATAATACAAGACTAACAAAGGCTAGAGGCTCCTGACTTGGGACAGGCGCAAAAATGCGGCGGGGTTAAACATGTTTATGAGATCTCAACCCTCCCCCTATACCTCTAGCCAATGTAGAAAAGTAAACGCATTGTCTAGATCTGTGACATCCATCTGTATTCCTGCTGATTAAATAAACGAATAACTGTCAATGCACCTTTAACACGCTGTTTATATATCTTAAATTTGAATAAACATTGATAGATACTTACAACAACTATAGTACCCATTTAACAGCATCAGATATGCATTTAGACAATAAATGTCTCCTTTGGAATTTCAACCAAAGATGAAGAACTGGATCTTCCATCATTGTATTGGATACCTAAACTACATATTAAGTGTCCTTACAGACAACGTTACATTGCTGGCTCTTCCAAGTGCTCCACGAAACCTCTTTGTAAATTAGTAATATCAATTTTTATCAGCAATCAAAGCCGGGCTTCAAAGTTATTGTGAAACTACCTAGTCTAGAGGTGGCGTGAATCAGATGTGGATACTAAAAAATTCCAAAGATCTTTAGAGTACATAAAATCTAAGGCTCCTTCATCTTGCGATATTATTAAAACATTTGTATTTTCTAGACTTTACACAGGCATTCCCCATTCCAAACTAGTTGGTCCTACTTTGTTTCATCAAAATAATGGCAAACGTAGATACATGTATCTTGTCTTAGGGAGGGATAAATCCTACATTGTAAACAAATCACTCTGATTCAAATAAAAAATCCTTTGAAACGGACATTATCAAGATGATTGATTTATTGATTGACAACATATTTGTTACGTTTGGAGGACGTGTTTTCAGCAAACAATCGGCATCCCCATGGGAACCAACTGTGCCCCTCTTCTTGCCGACTTGTTCCTTTATTCATATGAGGCTGACTTCATAATGGAACTTCTTAGGAAGAAAGAAAAGAGGTTAGCAGTATCCTTTAACTTCATTTCCACTGTATGGATGATGTTCTCTCACTAAATAATCCATAATTTGGTGACTATGTTGAACGCATCTATCCCATCGAACTTGAGATTAAGGATACAACAGATACAGTTAAGTCTGCCTCATATCTTGACTTACATCTAGAAATTGACAATGAGGATCGGTTGAAACCAAAACTTTACGACAAAAGAGATGATTTCAGCTTCCCAATTGTGAATTTTCCATTTCTATGTAGCAATATTCCAGCGGCGCCTGCATACGGAATATATATCTCCCAGTTGATACGATATTACAGGGCTTGTATTTCCTATCATGATTTCCTTGATAGAGGGTTGCTGCTCACAAGGAATTATAAAACCAAGAGCTCCAAGTAGTAAAGTTGAAATCATCCCTTCGTAAACTTTACGGACGCCATCACAAGTTGGTTGACCGTTATGGAATATCCGCTTCACAGATGATAGCAGATATGTTCCAAATATCGTAATTACAATCCCGCCCCTTTTTCCCCGATTGTGACCTACCGAATTAGACTTATTACCGGGTTTGAACTAACATGGGCAACACGACTGGTGCCACATGTGGAGCAGGATCTGCTTACCATTCCTGAGCACCTGAGATCACCCCAGTTTTTGGTGGGAATCGTGTTGCTCAGTCTTTTAGTTTTCTATGTTGTGTTTTGTGTACTGGTGTGTCTGTTTGTCTTTTTCTTTATAGCTATGGCGTTGTCAGTTTATTTTCGACTTATGAGTTTGAATATCCCTTTGGTATCTTTCGCCTCTCTCTTAGGTGATTATCGAGCCCAAAATATTCTAAAATCCAAAACTTATTTAAAAATGTTTTGATAAAACCAAAAAGGACGAAAAGTATGGACGGACAATAAGAGGTTTGCATAAGGGAGATATATTCCGTAATATAAGATAATTTCAAAACAGCAAATTTCAGGAAAACAATATCCCTATTTTAATTTCAGTACTGAAGTACTGGCTACGGGGTTGAAACTCCCCATTTCTGCACCAATTCTGATTACATGAGTAATTCTCTGTTTTTATGAGTTCCTGTAGCATGGTAAAAAAAATAAAGCATTTCACGACTGAACTGTACACGGTTCCAGGCTGAGAAGGACTAAAGCTATCGCATTTCATCAAAGTTACCCTTTATTTTTATGGTTTGCACTTAAACACATAGTGCTACTTGTATGCCTGCCGATACATGTTTATTCTGAAAGTCATAATTCCTTTACCTTTACAGATGTCTTGATTTTGTGTTTTCCTAAACGCATCTGAGATAAAATCCGGATTTTCCGTTTAGACCATGCTGTTCCGAAATTTTCCTCTAGTTTAGTAATGTCACGTGATTCTGGAATAAATTCAGACTTTTTGACACTGCTTCCGTTCAAGTTTTTCTAAGAAAAAAACCAGTAAAAGTGAAAAAATAAATGACAACAGTAGGATTTCGATGTTCAACACTCGAATACCAATTTTGAACATAACCAACCAATGAAATACACGAGGACTTCATATGAAATCAAATAGAACGTGAATGGATAACGACTGGGTAATGATACTCCTGCAGGCATGCATCACACGCGACGCAAATTAAGATCTGTTTATTACAGTTTAGAATTAAAAACAGATATGCTTTTGCTCTAAATTTCTATTAGTGTATCTTCGGGAAACTATGATTTAATTACTGTCAATTCAGAAAGTAATGCGTTATTGTTCAGAGGGAAATCTAGTGACAAAATATTACCTCCTCCACAAAAATCTTGATCTGTTCAATGTTTGGCTCGTTTTAAAAAGAATCATAAGAAACATTCTGGTAAATAGTAACAATAAAATTAGATTGAAATAAAAACAAATTTTCATATATTGTTATCATTTCCTTAATAAAACAACAAACGACGAGTACATCAGGTTATATGCGCTTTCGTAAATTTGAATTAAAATGTTGCTATGCGAATAAATTCCTTGAGTACCTACTTCAATTTATTTTCTACTGGCTGTATATCTCTCCGGATCACGCGAATTATCCGTATATATGTACAGTTAGATCAGTAAAGTTCATGGACAAAAATTTCAATGAAATCAATTCATATGCAGCAAAGATTAACACTTTTGAAATTAAGTTACTAAGCAAATTCAAACATACCTTATCCCGATGTAAACATTGAATGTAAATAGATCGAGATGACCTCATATACATGTACAGAAATCAACGACCTTTAAAAAGTGTATAATTTTTTTTTGTAAAATTCTTTTAACGGATAACCTACTTTATAAGAATATTTATCTTTAATTTTCTAACCTGTACAGGAATTACTTTTTAATTGTTATATTCACGAAAAGACAACATTTCTATATTGAAAGTTGACTTGACAAAAACAGACCGGTGTACTCGTAAAATTAAGATGTGAAAAATAGGTATATTTTGGAAAATTGTAACAGGCTAAGGACTATTTTTTTTAAACAATATGCATCAAAGATTAACATTTTTTTGAATTTCAGTTTCACAAGCTTCTAATGCAAATGAATAATGAATAATGTAAATAATGAACATAAAACATCTTGTCTGTGCTTGTCTATTTTCTCAGTTTAACAAATAATTTATTCAAAATGTACGCTAGTTGTTTAGAAATAACTTTCAATCAGTATCGTCACCGGCATTGTTTACTATTGATTTTCTCGACTTTTTCATCAGAAGAGTGAATTTCCTATTGTTCTCGATCATCCGTTTAGCCACTGTATTGCGAATCCTTGATACTGACGTAATAGTCGCATTAAATAAAACGTAATCATTAATTTCTGTATTTACAACTTCTTATCTATTAACAAATTTGTTTGTAAAAATGATCGCTGACATACGAATAGAATAGTCTTGTGTGATTGAAATACATTCAGAGTTAGGTCTTCATGTTTAGACACTTAAATGCATAATGTTTTGAATATAATAATTTGTTGTAAATACTAAATGTTACTTACCTCTTAGAAATTGAAAATGAAAAACTTAAGTGTATAATAAATTTACATATCATTTGCATATCATCAACATGAGACAACGTATTCATTGTAATAAATTGGCTATTTTAAAGGTATATATTTATGATACAAATCTGTCAAATAAAAAGCACATTAGTTATATATTTTCAGTCCAAATCAAATCTGTCAAATTAAAAGCACATGAGCTATATATATTCAGTCCAAATCAATTAGCAATATTTCACATTGATTAATAAAGTGTTTCTAATCTTTAAAGAAGTTTCCCTCATAAAATTAAAAAGGAAACAACATATATTATCTACATAAAGTTGAAAACAAGAGCAATAATTGAAGTATCATATTAGATATGTTAAAAATGGGAATTGCGTTAAATAAGCGTAAGCAATATGTTAAGTAGCTTGAATATGTACGGACAAGCTATCACATATAAACTTTAAATGCTCAAATAAGCATTGATACAATATAACAAAAACAATGCGAAAAAAATCATTGTTTGATTATAACGAAAACAAATCTACAAGGAACAATTTTCAGAGATAAATTGTCTTTCACAATTATAAAAGTTTGCACAAAATAACAGTCAGAGCTGCAATATAATACCATCTATTTTGATTATATCGCCACTAACTAAACTTATATATACGAAGCCTCACTCTGGTGTACCAAATTACCAGTATGGTATCATTGATGAGTTTTTGTTTTACATACAATCGCTATTCAAAAATGCAATTTTGTCATTAATGAAATCGAACCGAGCCACGACATTTTTCGTAACAAATGATCATAGTTTGCTTCTATTTTTTTAATATCTTTGTTGTTGCTCAATCATTTACCTGATATTTTGTATATAACGTGGTAAAATAAAATAAAAATCAATTATCTAATATTATGTATATATCGTGGTAAAATAAAATACAAAAGTATTACATGATTATTTGGAAATGGCTAGCACAATTTTATAAAATAACGGTACAAATAATCAAATTAACTAAATGAATTATTATAATAAATAAAAACAAAATAAATTGAGAAAAAAAGCAATGTATTATAGACATGTAAATAATTACGAGAATTTTGCTTTCGTATTTGGGTAACTGAAGATGCAAATTAATGAAAAACACAGAGTAATGATCTAAACAATGTATTACCTGTTTGATGATACACATATATACTGTATATGGTGTTACTGTCGGTATACACATTAGTTGGTGAATGTCCTTGTGTTTTATTCAGCATTAATAGCTTTTGGTTATTGGTATAGAATATGGCACTACCATAGACACCAATAGGACAGAATTGATCTGTATGCCCTGTTGTATAAAGTGTTTTAACATCACATCCTCTAACACTTGCTGATTTTAAGTTACCAGGATGATGGAAAGTTGTCCAATAGACTTTGTCTTCATTCATATCTAACATATTTGTGAACATATTAATTCATGTTAATATCACCGAACATTCTCTTTCTGACTTCTAGCTTGACATAAAAAATATAATCAATAACACTGACTGAGATGTCGCCTAGTAAAACGACGTTTAGACTATACGTCAAATACCTTTATAAAAGAACTACATTTGTTAATAACAATCAGAAGTAAAATACTCAAAAATTCTAACTGTAAAAGAGGCAAAAGATACAAAGAGACATTCAACTTAAGAGTCAAAAGTCAACTGACAACGCCATAGCAAAAAAGTCAAAAACCTAAACACAAACATTGAAATCTAAATATCGAGCAACACGAACCCCATCAAAACCGGGGTGATCTCCGGTTCTCCGAAAGGGAGAATATCCTGCTCTTCATGTTACTCATATAAGTGCAAGTCCGGTGATAAATCTAATTCGTTAGGTCACCGTCGGTAAGATGAAAACTGGATTGCTGCAACGACGATTGGGACATATCCGTTGTCATCTGTGAAACAGGTAGTCCATAATGGTCAACCAACTCTTGATGGCGTCCATAAAATTATCGAAGGGATAATTTCAACTTCACCATTTGGAACATCTGGTTTAATAATAACCCACATTTCAGCCAATACTTACATCTCATATATCCCAGTGAACTTGAAATTAAAGATACTACTTATACTAGAAGGACTGCTTCATACCTTGATCTTTTCCTCAATATTGACACAGATGGACGACTTCACACTAAAATCTATGACAAACAGGACGATTATAACTTTCCAATTATCAATTTCCTATTTCTCAGCAGTAACATACCCTCTGTCCCTTCGTATGGTGTTTAAATATCTCAGTTGATACGTTTTGCTCGTGCATGTTCACACTATACAGACTTCATATACAGGGGTGTGCTCCTTACGCAGAAACTGCTCCAACAAAGTTATGAGGAGGAAAGATTAAAAATGTAACTCCGCAAATTCTATGGGCACCATCACAAATTGGTTGATCCATACGATGTGTCTTTGTCCAAACTAACAAAGGAAAATTGTACCACGTCTTAGATTGTGGTTTGCCATATCGTGGTCTGATCGTTTAAGTACCGAACGTGACCTATTCCCGATTGTGACTGTTTTGCCGAGTGTGAATTCGCATTGAATTCGCATTTGTTATTAGACGTGTCACGGTATTTTTCTATCCAAAATTCATGTATTTAGTTTCGATGTTATATTTGTTATTGTCTTATCGTTTGTATTTGTAATTCTTACTTTTTTTCTGTTCTATTCGTGTGTGAGGGTAATGATAATTTATCGCCCAGTTCATTTATAGATTTCAGTTTATGTCCACTAAACGTACACTATGTATTTGGTTTTCAGTTTGATTTAGAAGAAATACCGACATAGCTAGATAATACAATTAATTATCTTATTACTTACACAATTTTATATTAATAAGTATTGTTATTTTCATTGTTATTAAATACTTTTTTTTTTTTTTAACAATTAAATCATCTTTATTGCACTAAATGCTGTTTAACAATTTACTTAGCTTACAGCATTGGGCTAAGTTTCCCTGTGTATTTAAAATTATTATATATCCAGGGAGAATATATAATAAAATATATATAAATGTTAGTATTATACAATTAAACATAATACATAATATAAATAAACGTCAATATAAACTGATTCATTGATTTTTTGTCTGCTTACAAATCGGAAAAAATAACGGATCTTCACCGTTACATTTTGTGATTATTATGTGTATTTACTTTCTCACAGGATACCTGTGTAATTGGAATTTACTTATTCTTTTATAATTTGAAGGATTTATTTTTCAAACTTACATGCTTGACCATGTTAATGGAAATACATATATAGGTAGGTGCATATAGTTATGTTAAATACAAATCAATAGGTTATTTGCGATGCATTTTTTTTTTGGCTCCTCGTGGTATATTATTTATAGACTGGAAGTAGCATGTGTTGATTTGTCAAACATACTCATTACCTACAGATATCACTTACAAGTTACAATATGTCGATGTCTTTAATAACATTTTTCCGGTTTCGATATTTCTTATCGCATTTAATTTTATAATGTCGTATATTTCCGTTTTGAAAATTTTGAAGATATCTATCTTTGTTTCTCTTTTTGTTTGAAATAAAATGTGCTTTATATATAGAGAAAAATATAACTGTTATAAGGGTGTTTATATCAAAATATTTTATATCTGATATTTTATAGCCAGTTATTAAATTTTCTAGCCTTAGAATGTGTCTGTTTATTTGAAGATAAAGTAGTAGTTTATATATTTCATGCCAGTATTTAGTATTATAAGGGCATGTTATGAAAACATGTTTATAGTTTTCAATTTCTTTGCAGAAATTGCATGAACTGTTTTCTAATACTTTCCACTGAACTAATAATTCATTGCATGGAAGGATGAAATGGAGTAATTTCCATTTAAACATTTTAAATTTGTTGTTATCTAGGTATTTAAATATAAAATTAAGAGTGCTTTTTAATTTTATGTTAAAATTTTCTTTGAAAATTCTTTCTTACTTAAGATAACCTACAGGTTTTTCTTGTTTATGAGGGGCAAATAATATTGAATATATTTCTTTATTACTCATTTCTGGATAGATATTATGATTGAGTAGTATTTGCAGATTTTTGGTATTCTTTATATGTACTTTTGTTTTAAATGAGCTTTCTTGCTTTAAAATATTCTGCCAATGTTTTGGAATAGCTTTCTTTATTAAGGATAATTCTCTAATCCAATCTCGTTTATCTTTTAGTTTAAGTAATATTTTATTTTCTGATATATAACCTCTTTCATCTAGTATGTCATTTACATACAGAATATTATGTTCAATCCATTTAGTAAACAATAAGTGTTTTCCTTTTGTTTGTATATTATAATTGCCCCATAAGATCTGCTTTCTTATATCTAGAAAAGTTTGTGGGATCTTTGTCTGTCCACCCTTTACATTAATCCAAGTTTTAATCAATTGCTGATAGAACTCAGGGATGGATTTAAATGATTTTTTGTCTAACATATTAACATTTTTAATGTTCATTTGGAATATCAAAAGGTTTTTACCAAATTTGTTTAGATAAACTTGGGGTATGATTGACCAATTATCGCCAGAGTTTTGTTTAAGTTTTAAAATCCACCGTAATTGAAGTGCTTTGAGATACAAGTCTATGTCGATCATTTTTAACCCACCTTCCAAATAGTCTTTACAAAGGGTTGCACGTTTAACTTTATCTTTTTTCCCATTCCATATGAAATTATAGACTAGAGTTTTAAACTTTTGTATAATTTCCTTTGGTATGTACATGTTTGATGCAATATAAGTTAAATTTGGAAGAATTAATGATTTTACTACTATTATTTTGCCTATTAATGTTAAGTTTCTTTTCATCCAATTTGATAGTATCTTTTCACATTCTTTTAGCTGTTTATCAGTGTTTAGTTTTTGACAGTCTTGATTGTTATAACCAAAGTAAAAGCCAAGACTTTTAATGTTATCTGTTTTCCAATTTATGTTTTCAAATTTGTCTCTACTATGTTTGAGTTTTCCTAACCAAAATCCCTCTGTTTTATTTCTGTTTAACTGTAATCCTGAGAAGCTTCCAAAAGTTTCATTTATATTCATTGCTAAACTAACATCTTTTGGTGATTTGAGAAATAGGGTTGTATCATCTGCGAGTTGACATATTTTCAGTGAGCAGTTTTTACCATCTAATTTCACCTCTAAACCATTGAGGCTATTATTTTGTCTTAGTTTAATTGCCATAATTTCAACTACCAATACGAAAGCTAACGAAGAAATTCGACATCCTTGTGGAATTCCGCGAAAAATATTAAAACTGCTGGACACCCAACCATTGTTGAGTATACAGCCTTTTATGTCTGTGTACATTGTTTGAATCCATCTTATAAAACTACTTTTGAAGCCAAATTTTTCCAAGGTTTCTGACATAAAGTTCCATTCAAGGGAGTCAAATGCCTTTGAAAAATCAACAAAAAGTATAGCTCCATCTACTTTAAAGTTCTCTGAGTAAGCAATAATATCTTGTATTTGCCTCATATTGAAGCCTATGTATCTGTTTTTTATGTAACCTTTTTGGTCAGTATGAATTATTTTTGGTAATACTAGTTTTAATATTTGAGCAAGTGCATAAGCTAACAATTTTACATCATAATTTAACAGAGTTATTGGACGATAATTATTTAAAGAAAGTGGATCTTCTTTCTTATATATTAATGATATTGCCCCAACTTTTTGTGAATTTGACAATTCTCCTTTTTCATGGCAAAAATTGAATACAGATACAATTAATTCTTTTATTTTTTCCCAAAATCTTCTGTAAAATTCAACATTAAGTCCATCTAAACCTGGAGCTTTATTTAGTTTCATTTTAAATATAGCATCTGTACATTCCTGCACTGTGATTTTTCCTTCACATAAATTACTTTCACTATCACTTAATTTTGGACATTTTTTAATATCGTTTAAGTACTTTTTGGTATCTTCAACATCTGGATTAGTAGAGGAATATAAATTTTTATAATAGTTAACTTCAAGGTCAAGTATTTTTTCTTGATCAGTAATTATATTATTGTTTACATCATATAATCTAGTAATGGTTTTTTTGCACTGCCTGGCTTTTTCAAGACCTAAGAAGTATGAGGTATTTTTTTCTCCCTCTTCAATCCATTTCACCCTTGATCTTATTTGATTGCCTTTTATTTTTTCATTGTACAGATTTCCTAATTCTTGTTCTACTTTCTCTATTTTTTCAATCAGGTAGGTATTTGTTTCATTAACTCTGATTGTTATTAAATACATGTAATATCAGTATTACAAACCTAATCTTGAATCTATCCTATTTTTTGGAATTGTTTAGAAATTTATCAGTGACGTCACTTTTGTGCGTCGGTCAATTTGGCTAACATACAATGCATTGTTCGGCTTTACTGATTTTAGGTGCTGATCTAGGTTGTTTTACGAATTCGTTTTTATTTAGTTAGTCACCACTTCGGTGTTAACATGTATATCTATTATATGGTAATTTTTATAAATTTACTGTTTGCAAAAATATGAATTATTCTAAATACTAAGGATTTTCTTATCCCAGGCAGATAGTTTTAGCCATATTCGGCACAACTTTTTTTAATTTTGGTTCATCAATGCTCTTCCTCTTTGTTTGGCTTTCTTTGCTATTTTGACCTGAGCGTCACTGGTGAGTCTTGTGTAGACGAAACACGCGTCTGGCGTATTAAATATTAAGCCTGGTACCTTTAACAATTAGCTTGTCGTAATGTTCTATCCTATTCTTTATTTGTGTGTTTCTCTGGCCTGTATGTTCTTCCATTTATTTGTATTGTAGTCCTGTCATGTAATGTTGCCATTTTAGTGTTATACTTAACATTGCCATTAAAGCGGGAGGTTTGGCTAGCACAAAAACAGGTTCAACCCACCATTTTTTCTTAAAATATCCTGTACCAAGTTAGGAAAATGGCTATTGTTATCTTATAGCTCGTTTCTGTGTGTGTTGCATTTTAGTGTTTCTGTTGTGTCGTTGTTCTCCTTGTATAGTTGATGTGTTTCCCTCAGTTTTAGTTTGTAACCCGGATTTGTTTTTTCTCAATCGATTTATGAATTTCGAACAGCGGTATACTACTGTTGCCTTTGTCTAATAGCTTCCTTGTGAGCAGCAACGTTCTATCAAAGAAAACATGATAGGAAACGGAAGACCTGGAATATCGTATCAGCTGGGAGATATGTACTCCATTTGCAGGCGCTTCTGGAATGTTGCAGCATAAAAATGAAAAGTTCACAATTTGATATATTAATAAGTTTTAAAGGATTGTCTTTTAGTTATATGAAGTTGGCTTTAAATTGGATAACACGTTTACCTTACCCGAATTTGGTTATTCGTGGAGGTCTTGTTCATCGTATTTAGACATCCTTGACTTTCAAATGTTCGGGTTTGAGCGTATTTAATGATAACGTTTTTTTTCATTTACACGTATATTGTAATTACATTCAGTCCACCAGCCGCAATATAAACCATGTCGGGTCCAACGAAGAATGATATGTTTACAATTTCAAAGCACCTGACATAATCCCAGTTTTTGATAGGATTCTTGTTGCACAGTCTTTAGTTAAAAGGATATTGTTTTGTAGACTTTCGTCGTTGTTTTATATCTTTGTCATGATAGAGACTTATTTATAGCAGGAGTCGCATATCAGGTCGATGCACCCGGTCTCGATTCTTCGGAGTTCATGCGATTCCCTCAGTTTTTTGCTTGTGACTCTGATGTGCCTCGATTAATGTGGTATATATATATATAAATATAAGATGAGTTATGAGTGCCAATGAGACAACTCTCCATCCAAGTCACAATGTATAAAGTGTTAACAATTATAGGCCAAAGTACGGCCTATAACACGGAGCCTTGGCTCACACATCATATGTTAGCTTCTGTTGCCTACATTGATAAAGAAAACATACCTAAATCCATATAGTCAACACGTGTTTTTAAGTCTACAATGCCATGAGCTTCGCTATAATTAAATCTTGCTTTTATTATTCGTATAAAGCGTTCAGCGACGTACATCCACCTGTAAAAACGGTTTATACTTATATTTATCCACCGTTTTAGATTTCTGTGACAACCGTCGGATCTTTTTTCTTAGCCCTAAATGTAATAATTTAATAATGTAGAATGTAAATATTGACTGATACAGAATGTTCTGCTGTGGCAGACCTGTGTCAAATTTACATGTCATGAGTCCAAAAGCTATGACAAGAGGTCCCCATTCCATCATAAATTAACTGTTTACACAACTTATCGAATATTTCTTACCCAGGAAAAGACAATCTTAGCTTTTGGCAAAACCTTGGTAATAATTTCAACTCAATACTATTTTAGCTACACATAATTTGTACTCACAAGGAAGCTATTAATCCAAGAGTTCCAAATGGTGAAGTTGAAATCATCCCTTCGTTAATTTTACGGACGCCATCACGAGTTGGTTGACCGTTATGGAATAACCGTTTCACAGATGATATCGGATATGTTCCTTATGTCGTAACTAAAATACCCTTCCCTTTTCACGAATGTGACCTACCGAATTAGACTATTTACCGGATTTGTAATAACATAAGCAACACGACGGGTGCCACATGTGGTGTAGGATCTGCTTACCCTTCCGGAGCACCGGATATCACCCCCAGTTTTTGGTGGGGTTCGTGTTGCTTAGTCTTTAGTTTTCTATGTTGTGTCATCTGTACTATTATTTGTCTGTTTGTCTTTTTATTTTTGGCCATGACGTTGTCAGTTTGTTTTCGATCTATGAGTTTGACTGTCCCTCTGGTATCTTTCGTCCCTCTTCTAAGGTAAATTCGTGTTCAAAAGCAAATACATATTTAGACCAACCACAGATTTTGCTTTAAAGTGGATTCATGTCCTTTGTTTATTATAAACAAGCTGCATTCTTTCCAGAAAAAAGGCGTAGGATACCATGGAAACATTACAAACTCATAAGTCGAGGGGATTTTGACAACTCCATTGCAAAACGTGCGGGATTTTTCTCGCTGTGTTGAAGACCCATTGGTGGCCTTCGGCTGTTTTCTGCTCTTTGGTCGGGTTGTTGTCTCTTTGACACATTCCCCATTTCCATTCTCAATTTTATGAAAGACGATGAAAAGAAAAACAATTTCACAAAACGATACATAAAAACCAAAGACTGAGCAACGCAAACTCAAAACAATATCCGGTAATTCTATGAGAGCCGGAAGGTAAGCATATCCTTCCTTACTAGTGCCACCCGTGATGTGACGTCATTTAAATACAGACTCGATGATAAGTCTCATTCGGTGATGTCACAATCAAGGAAGAGAAAACAGGATGGTGGTAACGACAATTCGAACATATCCCTGGTCGTTGAAAAGTTTAACAAAAAAGCCGAACTCAAAGGTAAATTCAAAAAGGGGAAGTCCATTAAAACTGACAAAATCGTACGTTATGAATCAGCGGAACAAGTGAAAACAACTGCCATATTCCTGACTTGGTACAGGCATTGTCCTAAACCTCCCACTTGTATGATAGTTATTTGTAGTTCCGTTATATTGAAAAAAATGGGTGAACAACCCAAACAGACACAATAGGCCAATGTGACAACAACCGGGACACAGCAGTCAAAACTGTGCAAATATTCATCACAGACTGAATATCTATCTATTAGGTCATGGTACATTCATCACAGACTTAATATCTATCTATTAGGTCATGGTACATTCATCACAGACCGAATATCTATCTATTAGGTCATGCTACATTCATCACAGACTGAATATCTATCTATTAGGTCAGGGTACATTCATCACAGACTGAATATCTATCTATTAGGTCATGCTACATTCATCACAGACTGAATATCTATCTATTAGGTCAGGGTACATTCATCACAGACTTAATATCTATCTATTAGGTCATGGTACATTCATCACAGACCGAATATCTATCTATTAGGTCATGCTACATTCATCACAGACTGAATATCTATCTATTAGGTCAGGGTACATTCATCACAGACTGAATATCTATCTATTAGGTCAGGTTACATTCGATTAACTTTTTGACACAGATATTCTATGACGATCAAATACCTAGTGGTGACATCTGTAACATTCCTATTGAGGACTTTCAACTTTAAACCATTGAAACATATTGACTGCTAAAGTATATATACATTGAAATTTACCGTTTAAGATATAAACAAACTTTTTTTTCATCTTTTCGTTAATATTAAGGCTAATTATCAAGGTTTTACTGTTTCTTGTTATTCTTAAATCAATGTAACAGTCAAAGAGTATAACAAAATCACGGAACTCCAAGGCAAAGTCCATATAACTGACAAAATCACGGAACTCCAAGGCAAAGTCCATATAACTGACAAAATCAAACGTTTTCAACGGAACGAGTGATAGGCATCTGTCATATTCCTCATAGTTAAAGGAGACACAATAAATATGTTTTCTCTTAATTTATTGACACATTAATCATAAACGCTTTGATGAGGTTCGTTAAAAAAGAAACATAGCCATGGAGGCCAAACGGAAAAATAGAATGTAAATAATTTGCAGATCAATGATTAGTGTCTTTGTCTTTTTGTCTCTTTAAATGTTGATGACATATATGAGTCAAGCCTTCTTCAACTGAGTTCATAGTGTTTTTTGTATGTTATATTGCTACACCGCTGTCCCTGTTTATGTGGAGAATTGGTTGTTTTAACCCTGCCAATTTTTATACTTGCTTTCCCAAAATTAAGTCAAATAACTTAAAGTGTCTATCTAATAGTTTACTATGTTGTGTTTTGTGGACTTGTTCTTCTTTTTTTCATGGTGATGTCAGTTTTTCTTCGACTTATGAGTTTTGCTTGATCTTCCGATATCTTCTACTTTAAAACAAAATATAACATGGACCTAGATAAACAAGGAGCCACATGTTTGTTTGTCATGACGTATCTCCACACAGATCTGTGACGTCACGTAACACAAATCTGAGGAAATTACACAGATTTGAAACTTGATAAAAGGCCATGGATTTGAGTTTCATGACGACACGGGACACAGAGATGAGGAAAGGACACAGATTTGAAGCTTGGCCATAGTTTCACATTTTTTAACCTGTCGTTTCGAAATCATGTTGTCAAAATATTTTAAGATATTTTTTAAAACTTTTATCATGGATAATACTAGTAATAAGTTTATAAATATATATATCAGAACATGACGAAAATAGGTGACTAAGAGTGCTGTTGAAGATGCAGTTAGTCGATTAAGACATAGAGACATAGAGGGAGTGGTAACATCAGGACGACTTGGTTTTGGCAACATTCAGCAACCATTATGGCAGTCCGCAGATGTAAGACATAGAAGGGAACTTGTTCAGCAAAAAGTTCGTCGTGGAGAAGAAGAAGATCGCCCTTGAAACAACAAGGGTAATATATGAAATGGGAGATGGTAAGACCAAGAAAGATCAGTTGGCATGAGATGTAGAGAATGGACGGGCAGAAGATAAGCTTCCTACTTAGATCAGTATACGACGTACTACCAACACCCACAAACCTTACGAACCAAGTCAGGAATATGACAGTTGTTTTACATTTGTTTTTTTTTTGTTTGAGCTTTTGATTTTGTCATTTCATAAAAGAATTTCCGTTTTGACTTTTCCTTGGAGTTCGGTATTTTTGTAATTTTACTTTCGACCAGTGAAGTGAGTATTGTCTTCAAATATTTTTATGATAAAATATTCAGTCCCTTTTTCCATTCAATAAAATCACTTGTATAAAACTTATTATTTTTGTAATACCAAAAAGAAATACTAGTTAATAATTTTGAATACGAAAAAAATAGGAAATGGAAGATTTTCTTAATGAATGTATATTATTCTTTGGAATATAATTTTAGAAAATACTATATATCAAGAATATTTCACCGAATGTACATGTATTTGGAAGATAGAACCAAATTTCCAAGTTTACTTATTGCATGAAACAATGTTTGGCAATATATTCAATAATCTGCATTAAATTTCAGGATATAAGCTTAATGCATGAAAATTTTAGGCTATTACTTAATGCTTAGAGGATAGCTTATTGCCTAGGTTTTAAGCTTCAAGTCTAATTTCATTTATTGCCGCTAACATACACATACGACTACGGAATACTTGAGTAAACGAGTCGCATATAGACTCGAGAAATATTAAACTAGATTATTACTGGAGCGACCCCCAATGGAAAATGTGAAACATTATATTACATACGATCAAGACGGACATGTCATAATGTCTGTTTTAGTCACAACACAAGTGCCAACATACGTATATTTGGCACTCTTGAAATCGTTTTGTTTCAGAGTGGTGTAAGATGAAAACTTGAACCGACATTTTAACTACCAGTCAATAGTGCATCAAAAACATACAGACAAACAATAGTTTCTGAGCACAAACGTACACTTACAAGGTTAACGAAATATATCTGTTTATTGCATCGACTTGTACACTCAAAATGTTAACGAAATATACCTATTCATTACATCGATTCGTACACTAAAAAGGCTAACGAAATATACCTGTTTATTACATCGATTCGTACACTCAAAAGGTTAACGAAATATACCTGTTTATTACATCGATTTGCACACTCAAAGGGTTAATGAAATATACCTGTTTATTACATCGATTCTTACACTCAAAAGGTTAACGAAATATACCTGTTTATTACATCGATTCGTACACTCAAAGGGTTAATGAGATATACCTGTTTATTACATCGATTTGTACACTTAAAGGGTTAACGAAATATACATGTTTATTACATCAATTCGTACACTAAAAGGGTTAACGAAATATACCTGTTTAATCCATCGATTCGTACACTAAAGGGGCTTGTCAGAGTTGTTATATGGACCTCATTTGATCTAGTTACACTACACCGCATAAGCCTGTTACTTTGATATTCAGTCCAATAAACATGTCCATTTTCGGAATCGATAGCAATACCTGCTGGACCACTGCCTGTGTCGACAAATTTCTGTATAACTGCATTCTGTGCTGGATAAGGAAATCTATATTGAAATTAACAATATGTTAAGTTTCAATGTGGAATACGGTAATATGATATGGTGGACAATGAGACACAAACGAATGAGGATGTAAACAGCTATCAGTCATCAAAGGTTATTTTATCGTCATGCCTTTTATGCATTTATGTCAATTCAAAGCAAAAACAAAAAATATTTATTTGCATTACTGCACAAGCTTTGAGAATAAATGGCCTTTTCAGAACTTTCTTAAATTTCAATTTAAAATGTATACTAAAAATGTATTTGAGAGTTTATTTATGATTTTAATATAAATTGCAACTCTCCAGGGCAAAACTGACATAAGACGATTATAACTCTCGCATTAGACTCTTTTATGAATCAAGATTTTGGAGCAGATTCTCTGATCTGATTTATATCTCTGGTAGAATATACACAATATTTCTGAAGGCCATCTTTTACTGTGGAATATATGGTGGTCACAACTAAAGAAAAGATGTTAAGTAGAACATCATGAAGACCCGGATATATATTGTTCTTCATAAGAATTTTGTTCAAGATTATTTATCCAGTATGGAGAGCGGAGATTTTCATCAACATATTTATGTAATTCACAACATGAATCAATAAATATTTGTTTTTGATTTTCGAAAAACGTCTCCTTCGTGAAAGATTTTGGATTAAAGTTGGATTCCAAATATTGCTGTGTATTGCAATTCCTCAGTTAGACCTTTCAAATAATGAGATTTGTACATATAAACTAAATTCTTTTTATGCTTTGTCATCTGGAACAACACGAGCAAATAACTGATTGAGCAACACGAACACATTAAATGAAAATATTGGACCGGTAAAACAAATGAAAAACCGAAGCAAAAGGTACCAATGAGACAATCAAGGGTATTGAACAGATGAAAAACAGACAAAACCAAACCCGGGAATAATAATTCTTTACTTGAAAATTTTACACAATTTAATTAGTGTACAGAATCTTAAGGCTCCACCCGTTTATAATTTCGATCCGAATGAAAAGGTATTAACGGAACTGCTCCAAGGTGGACTCTGATGAAAGTAAAGGTTAGACTTTATCAACCAACGGAATTGATGAAAAACAACTGTAATAATCTTTACCTTAAACAGGCATTTTCCGAGGCAAATGGTGGGTTAAACCCGGTTTTATAGCTAACCAAACCTTACACAGTAAAACATACACAAGAGTAGAACATACAATAACAATTAGTACATCACAGCACTCTAACATAACAGTAAAATAGAAAACAAGAACAAAACTATAATCAGCAATTATACCGTGATAAGAATACTCCAATTACAATAAAACAAACTCAAAGACTTTAACTGTTGATATGAAATAATGCGGTCGAACGCTTAACCATCGATTATCATACGTATTCACGTTCTTTCCCTTCCGGTCTATGAGATGTAACAAACAGTGTAAGATATGCTTATTTATTCCGTTGTATATAAATTGTATATGTGATTGGTGTAACTGGTCTATACACATACACATGACTAAGTGATAAGTTTTTTGCTATCATTTGAAGACTGTCCTGTATTTTTGTGTAATGCATTTCCAAGTGCGTTAGTAGATCCGTTTGTTTTATAAAACGAGTTTAACTATTTCTATTTCCATTTCTTTATGCAATGAGAAATAAAGCTACTACTATTCCATTTACAAAACAGTTAATTGTATTGGTAAATCTTAAGTATCAATTTCAGTTGTTTGAATCTAAAAAATATTGAGTAAAAAGTTAAATAACAAAAATACCGAACTCCGAGGAAAATTCAAAACGGAAAGTCCCTAATCAAATGACAAAATCAAACGCTCAAACACATCAAACGAATGGAAAACAACTGTCATATTCCTGACTTGGTACAAACATTTTCTTATGTAGAAAATGGTGGATTAAAGCTGGTTTTGTAGCTAGCTAAACCTCTCACTTGTATGAAAGTCGCATAAAATTCCATCATATTGACAACAACAACCTTTAACCTTTCTACTTCATATTATATACATACCGTGATATAGTACGATGAACAAATTGTTTAAAGTATCTTTATCTATATCACACTGTATAAAACAGCGATATGGTACGTTGCTCAATTGTGTATAGTAAACATATATATAGAAGACGTTATACATACCGCATTATTGTACGATGATCATATTGTGTAAAATAAATATATTTGTTCTTATTATCGAAATCCATGGCAAACATTAACCCTGGATTCTCAACAAGTAGCTTTACACTGCCAGTATCCACATTAAACTCCTTAATATGGAATTTAGTTCCAAACAAAACTTTGATTTTGGTACCTTAAAGAAAATAAACATCGAAATTTATGTTAGTATATAATGTCTTGAATACAAATTTCTTTTTAGGCCGTTTGTAAAAAACATTTCGTTCAATACATCAAGAAAAGGCGTCTCGCTAAGTTCTTTAATTTCACTTTCAATATGTGATAAATATTGAAAGTAGTCAGACATGATCATGACCCTGGGAACAAGCAGATCACCAGCAGATATGTCGACCCAGTGATTTTTATTTTATTCACTCAAAGCATTTTAAAATGTGTTATTGAACAATATGTATGTCGTACAAAGACGACATATTTTTATTTCAAGAATTTATTATTGAGCGATATTTTTTTTTAGTCTTTAGTAGATGCATGATTTTTTGGTTTTATTTTCTTATTGGCCTCGAACTAGCTATTTGTAACTGCGAGTACTCTCATATCTGTACTTGGTATCTTTTTTGTTGTGGGGTTGTATAAGTACCTGCAATGTCCGGTCTGTGCTTTTGTTAGATGTGTTTCTACTTTGTATCGATCTGAAGAATTAAGCCCTTTTCAAGTGATTTTTATAGTTTGTTCTTATGTTGTACTGTGATACCATTGACCCAGGTTAGAGGAAGGGTTAACGCCTTCAAACTAGTTAAACCCCGCCACATTCTAAACTTGCCTGTCCCAAGTCAGGGGCCTGTAATTCAGTGGTAATCGTTTGTTGCTGTATATTATATTTTTTTTTCGTTCGAGCTGTTTGTTTTCTCGTTTGAATTGTTTTACATTTGTCATTTCGGGGCCTATTATAGCTGACTATACGGTATGGGATTTGCTTATAGTTGAAGACCGTACGGTGACCTATGGCTGTTAAATTCTATGTCATTTGGTCTCTGGTGGAGGGTTTCCACATATGTAATTATACCACATCTTCCTATCTTATATCGAATGCTCGTTTGTAATCATAATATAAGAACAAGGAGATTTGGTATGATTGCCAATGATACAACTCTCCACCACAGTTCAAATGAAGTAGATGTAAGCAATTAAAGGCAACTGTACGGCTTTAATGTTATAAAATGACATAATTTATAACATTTTAACATTAAATACCGAATTAAATTCAAATATGCTTGTGAGCGCTCAACCTCCACGTAACCCGGGACAGTGGTGTAACAACACAACATAAAAACAAACTGTAAAACTTATTACCGATTGGCTTAACTCAAAAGATCGATACGAGGCACAAAAACAACTTGATATATAAAAACTATAGACACAAAGCCCCGACATAAGAGTACTCGCAATTACTGAGCGCTAGTTCAAAATCAATTAAAACTAATCGATAAATTATGTTCTCCCAGACCACAGAATGTATAGATCTGTACACATCCAACGGATCTAGTGTTAATGTACATATAACATTTTTAAAATTGTGCCCACTAAAAATGAATTTCCATCTGCATTATCTAAAAACATTTCCTGAACTTTCTATTATATAAACCAACACAATATTTGTATCAAAGTTTAAATGAAATCAAACTGATGAAAAAAAAGTATGCTTTATGTAAATATATATATATATATATATATATTCTATACTTACATAGAATCATGGACAGAAAATGAAATCCAAAGGATATGAAAATCCAAATTTGTACATCCATTTCAACATTAATCAAAAATGGGTATACATGTGTTGTCTTTTAACAGGTAAATTAAACATAAAGCTTTAACTTAAATATGAATATAAAACAGTTACATATTGAAACACGACGAATTAAAAGAAATGCGAAACCTGAATTCATCCGTAACGTCAAAATTTATTTACTGTAAACCAAATTTTTTTTGCGGCAACTTTTTTCTACTGTAGTCCCTTACCGATTTCGTAGCTGTAAAATGTTAACGATTTTTCAACTTTGATGGTGTATATCAATGAAAACATTCCACTTTTGCATATTTGCAACAAATGCATTTGTGTTGTTCCAATTGCTCAAATTAACGTCGTCCACTAAAATTAGTTTATTTGAAATCGTATGAATACAATGAGACATATAATCAAACAGGAAGGACATAAAAAAATCGTTTTCCTGTAAGATATTTAAAAAAAATGTTGCAATGTATGAGATAATTAATGGTCACCAATGAATATTCAAACCCATTTAAATTTAGTCACAAAATATTTATCACAGTTTAATACGGGTAAAAATTGTTAAATAGCAAAAGCGCTACACATTGTTATTCTTTTTTGAAGGGAGTTCGTCTATTACATCAAGTTAACAAAATTTAAAGTATCAGCACGAAACCCAAATTCAAATTTTTTACTGTTTTTCTTAATATTTATGTTACCACATGTTACGAATCCTTATGTCCTCTGGATACTCAATATACTTTCACCAATAAACACTGACCGCCACGATATACCCAATAGCACCGAGAGTGGGGTTAAACACCACCAATCAATCAATCATTAATAAATCATGGACATGTCAGACTTCCGGACCACATCAATTATTGTCTCAATCTATGTGTTTCTCTCGTAGTGAACATGATTATTATGGCAAATCATTTGTAGTAACTCTTTTGAAATAGAGCCTAAAGATACAAAAGTGACATTCAAACTCAAAGTCTAAAACACACTGATGATGCATTGGCAGAAATCGAAAAACGATCAAAGGAAAAATATCAGTTTACAAAACAAAAAATAGAAGAAGAAACTGGGCAAAAAGAATTCTAGCAAAAAATGGGATTGATCTCAGGTGCTTCAGAAGGATAAGCAGATCCTGCTTCACATGTGGCACTCGTCGTGTTGCTCATGTAAGTACAAACCCAGTGATAAGTCTAATTCGGTAGGTCACATGTGAGGAGTAGAGGACGGGATTGTAATTACGACAATTGGAACAAATTGTGTTGTCATCTGTGGAACAGATATTCCAAAATGGTGAATTTACTCGTTTAGTTAATTCCCCATTTTTCTGTTTGCATTACGTCCTTTAGGACTTGTGATGTCACTCCGGTTTTTTTATTATTTGTTTGTTTTCTACTGACGTATACCTTATGTCAGTTCTATTAATATACAAACGTAGAAATGTGTAGTTATGTTAATCCAATTTGTGAGAGATAAATATGAACCCTTTACAAGATAATATTGAAACGAAGAAAATTCGGTATTGATGCTTTTTTCATCAATTAAATCATACTAATATTATATTCTGTTTCTATACTATCTTAATACCTTCCTGAAATGTAATGTTAGATGTAAAATATGTAAAACGAAACGCGCGTCTGGCGTACAAGATTTTAATCCTGGTATCTATGATAATTTTTCTACATATACCGTGAGATCTAGGTGTACTCTGGTGTTATGTACGCAATATGTTAAAGGTAATGTTCCGTTCCGATTACGAAACAAGCGGGCAGGTTCAATTTTTAAAAGCTTGATTTGGCCTTCAAAAAATGTCTATTTGTACATTTAGCAGGAAATATTTTTTTTCAAATAAAAACTAATAATACCTTTTCATGTTTCATTTTAACTAGCAACAATCACAATACATTACGTGGCAGGTATTCAAGATATTTCATTACAATTTATCTTGAAAGGTTTACGTCAGTCATACATGTATCATAATTTATAAAACTAAATTGTTAAAGTAAATCTCTAAACATTATTGTTTATGTGTTCTTTCCTTCTTCCAAATAATTATGATGGTTTACTACCAACCCCCCCCCCCCTTTCCCCTTTTATCTTAATGGGTATACATGGTATAAGAATAAATTCAAATGTTGTATGGTTATATGAATAAACTTAGACTTGACATTGAGATGAAATATGAATAAATTTTAACGTATGCACAAATATGAAAACAGCCCAACGAATACTAGTAAAGAGAAGGACGGATGATTGATATTCATATTTGTATCACTTTGAACATAAGTTATAAAAGAGAGGCGAAAGATACCAAAGGGACATTCAAACTCATGAGTCGAAAAAAAAACTAACAACGACATGGCTAAAAAAGAAAAAGACAAACAGACAAACAATAGTACACAAAACACAACATAGAAAACTAAAGACTGAGCAACACGAACCCCACCAAAAACTGGTGGTGATCTCAGGTGCTCAGAACAGAACAGCAGTTATAATATATTGATAATGTAATTATAATATTTGTAGAAATAAATCTCCAATAATAAGTTATACCTGTAACACTATTTGATTCTTAAATATGCAATCAAAAATGAAATAAACTTCATCGTATAGTCTTCTCAAATTGTGACTAGGTGTGTCGAAAAGTTATATCAGTCATTCTTTCTTGAAACCTTAATTTGAGAACATTTCTGGTTAAAAGTGGTATTTTGTGTTCAGGTTACAAAAGCGCAATCATTTAGTTTCTATGTTATCTACAACTTTTTTTATTTCAAGATTGTACTTAGGATAAAATTTTGTGTGACTTCTGACTGAATGATACATGGTTGGAATTACTTTTAATCCAAAGGTTATCACTTTAAGTTTAAAAAATCCATAAAATGAAATTCACATTTTACAAAGTGCAGGAAATATTTTAATTTATGTATGAAGGAGCCCTAAAAAATGCCTTTTCCGTAAAGCGAAAGCAATAGACGTTCTTTTTCAACTGCCTTGTAGGTCAACATTTCCCGCATGACCATATATATATTTGGTCTCTTATACAATGCTGACATTTTCTAGTAACAGGAACAGCCACCCATTTTTTTCTGAGTATGTGCATCCTTCAAGAAATAAAATATGGAATACCATTGGTTCCCTATGGAAAATGAATTACGAATAATTGCGCTCTTGTAACTATAAGATACTTTTTTTGCTATTCACGTAAGCATTGTTTTTTCTTAGTCGCCAACTTGGAAGTCAATATGCACTAACTTTTTGAATGCATTTAGTAATATAATGTTATAATGTAGTAATGTTACGCCCTAATTTTCCTTTCCGGCCTTATTCACCAACATGTCACTAGTAGGAGTTCGTACCTTAACATTTCATACTTTTACAAATTATACATTTTTCGTGGAAAACCTACCTTATTATTTGTAAGTCTAAATATTCAGTAGCACCCATGTATAATATATTCATGTTTTTAATATAGTATCAAATATTTCATGTAGATTTCTTTGTAAATAGAAATGTAAAAAAAAAACGACGAAAAGTGGTCGACAATCAACAGTTCATAAAACACTAGATACAAAAATAAAGACTGAGAAGCAATAACTCAACCATAAACAAGGTGTGTAATCTTTTGATAAAGATAAATGGAAGATAAATTCTGAAAAACAACACACGTATAAATTACTTTCCGACATAACCCGAAACGGTGATTGTATCGCGTTAAATACATACGATTTCTTTCATGACTTTGCATGATGTGACACCAACGTCACACAATAGGTAATAGAATGCGAACTTGAAACTTGATCTATGAATTTGTTTAATAAAATTGTACTAAAAAACTATACGATTCAATATTTAATAGGTAGCTTTTATGTTGTAAATGTAAATTTTTAGATTTAACTAGTAAAAGTTAATTTTCTCACTAATATCTTCACTAAATTTTCCCAGTTCTATCATACTTAGTATTATTTAAGGTTCGTATACTTTGTCATCCATAATTGTTTGTTTACGAATTCAAAAAATGTATACTGAATATAAATCAACATGCAGACATCTTATACGTTCAGGTATATCACATCAAATCTTTTATGGTAATATTTTATACAAAGCACAAAAATGTCGGCACTCACCTCAATAGCTGAACAAACCTTTAAACAGACTTATTCAGAATGGATATAGTTACGATACAGTTGTCAGGTCATTAAACATGGCATATTTTGGTATTAATATTGATTCACTCATTGAGTCTTTGCATCAGAAATAAACACATTTTTTCTAAAACCATATTTGTCATGATACGGGTTATGTTCTTCTCATATATTTTATGATGGTATGATACTAAACCCCTAACGGAAGGGATTGTGCCTGATTTTCATATGATGAAGACATAATCTTTCAATCAGTTTAATTGAGGTCTGGAGCAGGCATATCAGTAACTGCTAGTAGTCTTTTGTTAATTTATGTATCATTGTCATTTTGCTTAGTTTCTTTTGTTACCTATTCGGACATCGGACTCGGACTTCTTTTAAACTGAGTTTTACTGTGCGTGTTGTTTTGTGTTTGTTTACTAGTATTCTACATTGGCTAGAGGTATAGGGTAAAAGTTGAGATCTCACGAAACATAATTTACCCCGCCGCATTTTTGCGCCTGTCCCAAGTCAGGAGTCTCTGGCCTTTGTTAGTCTTGTATGTTTTTAAAATTTAGTTCATTTATATGTTTTGGAGTTTAGTGTGACGTCCATTTTTTTCGCTGTGTTGAAGACCCATTGGTGGCCTTCGGTTGTTTTCTGCTCTTTGGTCGGGTTGTTTTCTCTTTGACACATTCCCCATTTCCATTCTCATTTTGATGAATTTTATATTGGCAGTTAACATTTATGCATTGGTAATATTTAATGTTTATATAAACAAAAAGCCGTGTTGATTGTTTCTAAATCGAAATTTACATTGTTTTTTGAAAATCGTCACAGATGATTTTCTACTCACATGAGTGATATATAACACAAACCCCACAAAAAACCGGAGGGATCTCAGGTGCTTCAGAAGGGAAGCAGATTCTGCTCCACATAAAGTGATAAAAATTTGCATTTAAAAAGATTATTGTTATAGTATTGTTGGTTGATAGTCAATAAAAATGTCATAGTTGATGTTTAAGATAGTATCCTTTCGGTTAAAACATTCTTAGGAAAACTCATCAATTATACGCGGCTTATAGTTTATTACACCAGACGGTCCTTATTGGTTTAGTTTTGAATTTTTTTGTTATTATACTCTATGTATCACATTCAGTTGTTGAAACGATTATCTTTGTTTTTCTTCACCCTGGAACAAAGCATAATCCTTTAACTCCAATGCAAAATACTGTGAAAAAAAAAATGATGCATTGAATGAGTAACTATAACTTTCGATCATAAGCATATGAATGTATAAATTATTCATTCCGAAGACATGTATGATCACTTGTTTATTTCGTTTACAGCTGATGATTGTTAAGCCAAACAATATCTCTTAGTTCTTATTTTTAATGACATGTATATTAATAATTATTCATACTGAAGCATGATAACTAGGCGAAGATTATTTTAAAATTTAAAAACATACCGTATTGTAGAACTTTTAAAAGCTCCTCACGTATGAATTCAAGACACATTTAGCTTTTTAAAAATATGGTATAAGTGTTCTTGATGAAAGTTAATTCAGAAGAGCGCTTTCGGCTGCAACACATTTATAAAATGTTATTTCTATTTTGAAGCTTTTATCATTCAGGAGCTTCTGCGATAGTCCTTTTTGTTTGTTTTGGGTTTGTATTTTTTAGGCTTTAATTTACCGCGTAGTATTTTGAATGTTGTTAATTGTCGTCTTTTTATTTGTGAATGTTTTTGTTTCATTATATACGCAAAATTCAGGTTCACTACACGAATTGCAATACTATCACACTGACACTAATTGGACATATTAGATCTATGTCAGAGAAAGATATGCTAAAGTAAAAACAATTTAATGAATAACTGATAATTTAATAAATGGTTAAAATAGAACTAACGGAGTGATGATATCAGTCATGGTGTCATGATGATTCAGAAAGTTGTTAAACAATATAAACTATATATATCCTTGATAGAACTTTATTGTGCTACAACGCGGGAATTGTTAAACTTACGGCACAAGTATAACACTGTTTGTAGCTTTGCGATTTTCAATTTGTCCTGTCTACTTGATCTGTGTTGGTCTTTACCTGAACATAGCTCATATAGATTTTGCCATTTCCAATCCTCTACTTTTTTTTGGTAAACTTCTATATAGCCCCTCGTGTATATTTAATGGATCAGCTATTTCTTTTCTTTCACCATGGGAATCTAATATACTATACATTGCAAACCACAGTGCGGGTTTTTAATTCAATGTTTTTAATAAGAACTAAGGTAAATTTTAGTAGAAAGAACTTAAATGCCCACATGTGCAGGTGGAAATAACACCAACGTCTTAATATAAGCTACAATTAAGGATACATAAACAAATTTCCAGGGATTACTAGATTATTGACCACAACAATGTTAGTAGTATTAAATAAACTAAACTTAGATACCAGGCTTAAAATTATGTACGCCAGACAAGCGTTTCGTCTACAATGGACGTAACAAAGACGTTCAATTTGAAAAACTAGAGGCTCTAAAGAGCCTGTGTCGATCACCTTGGTCTATGTGCATATTAAACAAAGGACACAGATGGATTCATGACAAAATTGTGTTTTGGTGATGGTGATGTGTTTGTAGATCTTACTCTACTGAACATTCTTGCTCCTTACTATTATCTCTATCTATAATGAACTTGGCCCGGTAGTTACAGTGGAAAATACTTTGTAAAAATTTACAAAAATTTACAAAATTTATGAAAATTGTAAAAAATTGACTATAAAGGGCAATAACTCCTTAAGGGGTCAATTGACAATTTTGGTCATGTTGCCTTATTTGTAGATCTAACTTTGCTGTACATTATTGCTGTTAACAGTTTATCTCTATCTATAACAATATTCAAGATAATAACCAAAAGCTGCAAAATTTTCTTAAAATTACCAATTCAGGGGCAGCAACCCAACAACGGGTTGCCTGATTGGTCTGAAAATTTCAGGGCAGATAGATCTTGACCTAATGAACAATTTTATCCTCATCAGATTTGCTCTAAATGCTTTGGTTTCAGAGATATGAGCCAAAAACTGCATTTTACCCTATGTACTATTTTTTAGCCATGTCGGCCATCTTGGTTCGCGGGCGGGGTCATCGGACACATTTTTTAAACTAGATACCCTAATGATGATTGTGGACAAGTTTGGGTTAATTTGTCTTAGCAGTTTCAGAGGAGAAGATTTTTGTAAAAGATTACAAAAATTTACGAAAAATGGTTAAAAATTGACTATAAAGGGCAATAACTCCTTAAGGGGTCAAATGACCATTTTGGTCAAGTTGACTTATTTGTAGATCTTACTTTGCTGAACATTATTGCTGTTTACAGTTTATCTCTATCTATAACAATGTTCAAGATAATAACCAAAAACGGCAAAATTTCCTTAAAATTACCAATTCAGGGGCAGCAACCCAACAACGGGTTGTCCGATTCATCTGAAAATTTCAGGGCAGATAGATCTTGACCTGATAAACAATTTTATCCCATGTCAGATTTGCTCTTAATGCTTTGGTTTCAGAGATATAAGCCAAAATCTACATTTTACCCCTATGTTCTATTTTTAGCCATGGCGGCCATCTTGGTTGGTTGGCCGGGTCACCGGACACATTTTTTAAACTAGTTACCCCAATGATGATTGTGGCCAAGTTTGGTCAAATTTGGCCCAGTAGTTTCAGAGGAGAAGATTTTTGTAAAAGTTTACGGACGACGGACGACGGACGACGGACGACGGACGCAGGACGACGGACGACGGACGCCAAGTGATGAGAAAAGCTCACTTGACCTTTCAGGTCAGGTGAGCTAAAAAAGGCCAGAATATACTTTCTATTATGTCTGATTTTCATGACTTGATATTGGAAATAATGCATTTGAGGACTTCACATTACGCTCCGGACTCCGGAAATATCGAGCGGTATCCTACATATTCATGCTTTATTTGCCTTTATCAGGTTAATTATAACAGTTTGTATCCTTTTACATTTTAAGGTTGTCTTGAATTCCTGGTTTCCTAACTATATAATGAGATCCTGATTGTATTTGTACCATTAGCGCCTTTGATTTTGTCCTCCAGTTTAGTCTGTAATTGGAGGCAGTTCTGCTTTATTGGCATTTCTTCTGTTCAAGAATTCATAAAAAATAAGCTGAAAAAAAGGTAAATAAATAAGAGATGACAGTAGGTTACGTTCAAGTTTCAAATATAACACAAACGACCAACGAAAGTACCCAGGATAAAGCATCAACTAAAAATGAATCAATACAGAATGCGCTGACAAGTTAAAAAGTAAAATAGCAAAAATACCGAACTCCAAGGAAAATTCAAATCGGAGAGTCCCTTATCAAATGGCAAAATTAAAAGCTCAAACACATCAAACGAATGGCAAACAACTGTCTTATTCCTGACTTGGTACAGGCATTTCCTTATGTAGAAAATGGTGGATTAAACCTGGTTTTATAGCTTTTTGACCGTCTTCTTCTTCAAATACATCATCGATTTTATTCATTTAAAGTATTGCGTCAATTAAGTTTATACTGCCAACAGTTTTGTAAAAAGATCGTAAAATAATATATTGATTTCTTTTCAATGTCTACTAGAAAATTGAAAAGAATTCGAAGGAAATGTAACATGCTTTGGACTAGATAGCAACGTTGAATAAGGATTTCTTCAGTGGTTTCCCACAAGGTAAAAGTCTAACCAAATGAATGAAACCCAATCTCTATCAATCATTCATATGTTCGTCGAAGAAACTATATATACCAATTTTAAGTGTCTTCTGAACAACCCGTGGTTTCAGGTTATGCGCGCATATTAGAATCAAGGGACATGTGCTTAAATGCATAATAATCAAATATAGAAAATATTTTAAAAATAATACATGTTACTTACTTCTTACTCAAGAAATATAAAGAACAAAATGGTACAATAAAATGTACATATCATCAACATGAATTTATCTATCATCAATACGAATTAACATATCGTTACACTAATTTCACTAATTTATCTATCATAAATATGAATACACGTATAATAAAAAAAAATTTACACATCATTAACATGAATTTACATCTCATTAACATGAATTTACATATCATAAACATGTGACCAAACATCTACTATGATTACAACCTAATAAGTTAACTTTATTAATGTATATATGTTTGTTAATTATGAATTTCAATCAATAAAAACCAACCATTATCTAGAATTATATATTTATTTTTTTCGCTTTTTATAAATTTTAATAGAAATAACATATACATGAAGTTTGAACAAGTATAATTATAGTTTTATATCTTACATGTCAAACAAAGCAATTGGCGTTAAAAAACGAACGAAAGCTATATGTATATGAATTTTGAATATATACTAACAAGCTAGACTGTATATGCTTGGAATAATCATATAAGCATTAATAAAAATAGAACAAAAATATTGCTACAATTATGCTCATTATTTGATTATGAAGATTAAATAATAAGGGACATTTTCAGGTATTAAATGTCATTAAGGATATGTTTTCGGCATTAAATAGATGTATACTAGCTGTAATATACAATCCAATTTTTCAATCAATAAAATCGTTCTAAGCCATCAAGAAAAAGTTTTTGCATTAAAAATCAGAGAAATTTCATGCTTATATTTTAGGACTGTTGCAAAAAAATCATTTACCGATCACTGTGTATACATGTATGTAGTGGTAAAAGAAAATGAAAAAAGGCACATGATATAGCACATGATTACTTGGCAATGGTTGACACAATTTGAACAAAAATAGTTCAAACAAGCATCCAAATAACCGAATAAGGTAAAAATAGTAATAAATAAATTGAACAGAAAAACGCAACGCATTTTGATAAAGGAATATTCGAATCAATGAAAGATACAGATTTTGGCGTTTAAGACAAACAAAAAATACAATCTTTCATGCTGATCTTTTTTATACTAATGTATTATCAATAATGCATTTTCATGTGCACATCCATTTCTTATCTTGACCTTTATATAGTGGTAGAGTCTTAGTTATATGTACTATGTTTGCCTCAGATCTGTTGTATAAAGTCACGGAAGTATTGTGGAATACAAATTATCAAATAGTCCAAATAGCTTATTAACCATAGAACACTATATATGCTTGGAACAATATTTTAAATCAGTTTTTCTCTTTTCTGTTGTTGTACAACTGAAAACTATCAAATATATTAGGAGATGTGCTGTACTTGCTAATGAGACAACAACTGTCGGTTAAGAATAAAGGGCAAACATGTGAACAATCAATGGTCAACATGCGGCCTTGAAGAGTAGGAAAATCCTATACCGTATAGTAAGGTATAAAATGTATCGAGATAACCAAATGTCAAGCAAAAGAGCAAACCAATGTATTCATTTGTATTATTAATATTACAAAAAAACAAAAAATAACCAATTATGGGATATGATTCCAACGATCACTAATAGATTGCAGGACCTTAGACCGGCAAATAAAGAATGTCGTAAGGTAATAAATGATTTTAAGAGTGCATCCCTTATAACCTTGAAAAGTTGATAAACAAAGCAGCGTAGGAACAAATAGCTCAATCAGTACGACAGGACACCACTCATTGAATGCTGCATTAAGCATGTCAAATAACAAAAAAACAAGTCACAAAGTACCGCAAAAAGGTACTATAAGTTGCCAAAAATTCATTCGAAGCCTGATTTTAGCTAATGGGCAAACAATGTGCTTCAAAACTAAAATGTCAATCAGAACACCGTTTGCAACTTAAGTGTTAAGTCGGATTTGACAGTTGTCAGTATCAGGATCTGCTTACCCTTCCGGAGCACCTGTGATCACCCCCAGTTTTTGGTGTGGTTCGTGTTGCTCAGTCTTTAGTTTTCTATGTTGCGTTTTGCGTACCATTTTTTCTGTTGTTTTTTTTTTTCTTTTTTAGCCATGGCGTTATTTTCGACTTATGAGTTTGAATGTCCCTTTGGTATCCTTCGCCTCTCTTCTAAAACAAAAATTTGCATCTATGAAAGAATTAAGTTAAGGTTGTAGGTCATGTTTGTCAATGGAAATCCTTTGGTTTGACAGTTTACCCGTTACTAGTGTACATTAGTTACGTTCCTTGAAATCTTAAGTCACTACAGACACGGACAACGACACGGACGCAAACGCATTGGAAAATACACAAGTTGTAATAGGGTATTCACCGTGCAAAACATTAACACTTGTATTACCTGTTTGGTGATGTACATAAATACTAAATATGCTGTATGTGTCTGTATACAATTCAGTCGATGTAGTTCCTTGTGTTGTATTCGACATTAACAGTTTTTGGTTACTGGAATAAAATATGGAACTACCATAGACATCAATAGGCTGGTAATACTTTGCGTTCCCCGTTTGAAAAAGTGTTTTAACATCACAGCCTCTAACACTTGCTGATTTCAAATCACCCTGGTAAAAAGTTGTCCAGTACAACTTGTCTTCATTTATATCTAAAACATTTGTAATATCATCAAACAATCTTACTTCATTTTGGTGTTGACTCTTACAAAAGTAGTATTTCTTTCTGAACCTTCTTGGTGAATTGTTCCTTTATTCATATGAGGTAAATTAAATGTTACACATTTGCAAAAAGAATAATGAAAATAAGCTAGCATTTTTCTTTAACTTCACCTTCCGCTATATAGATGATGTCCTCTCTGGAAATAATAAATTTTGATAACTTTGTTGAACGCATCTATTCCATCGAACTTGAAATAAAGGATACCACAGCTATACAATCTAAGACTCTCTCATCTTGCAATAGTATTAAAACATTTGACTTTTCTACACTTTACACAAGTATTCCCCATTCCAAACTAAAAGACAAATTGAAAGAGTTGGTATTACTTTGTTTCATTAAAAAGAAAGGCGAACATAGATACAAGTATCTTGTCTTGGGGAGGGATAAATCCTACTTTGTAAAGAATCACTCTGATTCAAACAAAAAATTCTCTGAAACTGACATTATCAAGATGCTTGATTTCTTGATTGACAACAAATTTGTTACGTTTGGAGGACGTGTTTTTCAACAGACTGTCGGAATTCCAATGGGAACCAATTGTGCCCCTCTTCTTGCCGACTTGTTTCTTTATTATTATGAGGCTGACTTCAAACAGGAACTTCTTAGGAAGAAAGATAAGAAGTTAGCAATAGCCTTTAACTTTACGTTCCGCTATATAGATGATGTTCTCTCACTAAATAATACAAAATTTGGTGACTGTGTTGAACGAATCTATCCCATCGAACTAGAGATAAAGGATACTACAGATACAGTTAAGTCTGCCTCATATCTTGACTTACATCTAGAAATTGACAATGAGGGTCGGTTGAAAACAAAATTTTACGACAAAAGAGATGATTTCAGCTTCCCAATTGTGAATTTTCCATTTCTATATAGCAACATTCCAGCAGCGCCTGCATACGGAGTATATATCTCCCAATTGATACGATATTCCCGGTCTTGTATTTCCTATCATGATTTCCTTGATAGAGGATTGCTGCTCACAAGGAAGCTATTAAACCAAGAGTTCCAAATGGTGAAGTTGAAATCATCCCTTCGTAAATTTTACAGACGCCATCACGAGTTGGTTGACAGTTATGGAATAACTGTTTCACAGATGATATCGGATATGTTCCTTATTTCGTAACTACAATACCCTTCCCTTTTCACGAATGTGATCTACCGAACTAGTCTTTTTTCCGGATTTGTAATAACATAAGTAACACGACGGGTGCCACATGTGGAGCAGGATCTGCTTACCCTTCCGGAGCACCTGAGATCACCCTAAGTTTTTGGTGGGGTTCGTGTTGCTTAGTCTTTAGTTTTCTATGTTGTGTCATCTGTACTATTATTTGTCTGTTTGTCTTTTTATTTTTGGCCATGGCGTTGTCAGTTTGTTTTCGATCTGTGAGTTTGACTGTCCCTCTGGTATCTTTCGTCCCTCTTCTATAGTTAAGTCTGCCTCATATCTCAAATTAAAATCTAGAAATTGACAAAACAGATGACAGATGATGTTTATATATCAACATTTCAGCAGCGCCTGATTAGGGAGTAGTTTGTACGATATTCCAGAGTTTGCATCCCTATCATGGTTTCCTTGATAGAGGATTGCTGCTTACCAGGAAGCTTTAGCACCACTCTATCATGATTTCCTTGACAGAGAATTACTGCTTACAAGAAAGCTTTAACACATTCCTATCATGGTTTCCTTGACAGAGGGTTGCTGCTTACAAGAAAGCTTTAACACATTCCTATCATGGTTTCCTTGACAGAGGGTTGCTGCTTACAAGGAAGCTTTAACACCATCCTATCATGATTTCCTTGATAGAGGGTTGCTGCTTACAAGGAAGCTTTAACACCACCATATCATGGTTTCCTTGACAGAGGGTGGCTGCTTACAAGGAAGCTTTAACACCATACTATCATGATTTCCTTGATAGAGGGTTGCTGCTTACAAGCTTACAGGTTCGTCTTACCCTTCCGGAGCACCTAAATTATCCAAGGTCTTTGGTGGGGTTTGTGTTGCAGTGTTTAGTGTTCTGCTGTTTGTCTAATGGTCGTGTTTTGCTTTTTGCCATGGCATTGCGAATGAGTTTGAATATCCCTTCGGTATATTTCACTCTCATTTTAGCTTAATAATGTCCTTTCACAGAAAAAGAAATTTATTTCCCACTGCAAACTAAATATAGGAGACCAAACAAATATTACAATGAAGTTTCTTATACATACCGTAGCATATTCCCCAGACAATAATTTTAGGTCAAACGAAAACAAATTTAGGCCAATTTTTTTCTCGTTTTGAAATTTGTAATTTCATAAAGCAACACTACTGACGAACATACATACGGTGCCCATACATTCCATACTGTCATACAAGTGGAGGATTAGCTAGCTATAAAACCACCATTTTCTTTGGAATTTGCTTGTACCAAGTCAGTTTTTATGGACTTCCCATTTTTGAAATTGTCCTGGAGTTAGGTATTTTTGTTATACTTTTTTCAAGATGGCACGACAGTGCAGGACTTGTGTTTTAAAGATTTCCTGATAAGACACGTGTTAATTCGCATTACTAACGCCATTATTACTTGGTTCCTAGTGTACGCGCTTTATTTTTTTGAATTGTATTTTCTGGCATACCCCTGAAAAGTAACAGCTTTCTGTTTTCCATTTCAACCTATCACATTAAATCAAAATTGAAGAATTTATATATGTACTAAATAGTATGGTCATAACTTAATTCGTTGCGATCGTGTGTATTTATTATCATGCAAGTCAGGATTTAAAAAACAAAAATAATATCTGCTTGAAATATACGTGATAATTTGTAAATCAGCACATAAAAATGTATGCAAAAGCTTCATGTGTGATCTTATTATGAACGCTTTAATACATTACTGCAGAACTATGGAAGATAAGTGTTATTTCCTAACATAAAAAGGTCAGTAAAATGTGTACAGAAGATAGTCTATGTATAATAAAATAATCATTTTGACGTTTTTAGACAACTGTCAAGTACTTCTGGAAATTTTTGAATTTTGAATATACAATAATGTACCGAGACTTTATTCATAATGATAACAAACCTAAATCCATGTAGTCAACTCGTGTGTTTAAGTCTACGATTCCATGACTTTCACTGTAATTAAATCTTGCTTTTATAATTCTTTTAAATCGTTCAACGACATACATCCACCTACAAAAAAGTGAATGAAAATATTTGTCTATTAGTTTGATGGATCGAATGGTTAGAACTTTTGAAATTGTCACACACACACGCATATCCTTATAGATATTAAATATCCAAGCTCTTTCTTGTCGATAACAAAAGTTGTTTTATACGAACAGTAAAATCTTAAAATATTTAGAATCAACAAAATATGTTTAATAAAAAGTAAAATCACAAACATACTGAACTCCGAGGAAAATTCAAAAAGGATAGTCCCTAATCAAATGGCAAAATCAAAAGCTCAAACACATCAAACGAGGGATAACAACTGTCATATTCCACGTCCAACGAAATAAAACAATTATAATGTGAAACAAAACTTATTAATCTAAATATCAAAGTTGATCATTGTCCAGTTAAGATGAAATTGTTACTGCAATTGCACAAAGCAAAAAACAAATTGATTGTTACGATATATAAAAAAATAAAAGTAATTTCGTAATTAATTTATCCTGTTTACTTGATTCCAAAACAATTTTGCCGTGGAAAGGTAGATTTTTTAACAATATGAAACGAATTATTAAGAATAACTGTTTTCTCTCTTTTTGCTGAAAACTGTGTTCTTTAAAAATTGATAGCAATGATAGAATATCATAACCCTAACCCATCCATCGAATTTCTTGGCTGTTCACCTATAGAAAAGGAAAATTATTTGGAAAGGGAATAAATCACGACCTTCCACGATCATAGCGCATGATCATACTGTACAAATATACTGGACGTTAAGCAACCAACATTCAATCAATACTGTACAAATAATACGAAAAACGAACATATAGTCATAGTACGTTTTCTAGTACAGTGTGAATCAACAAGATTATATATTTTTTTAATCCTACACACAAATGTGATAAAATTTGGATTGTTCTAAAAGTATCCAATGCATTTCACATAATGCACCATATTTGTAGCAAAAAACTAATAAAACTTTAGATTATTTGTTTCGAAAATTAAACTCTGTGGTAACGACGTTTTTTTGTACACTGTATAGTTAAGTCTAATCAAATGAGGATAGTTTTGTTATTTTTGCCTAAAACACTTTATTCCTGTGAATGATTGAAAATTGTACAGTAATAACCTGAATTGGCAATTATACACGATTTTTATCAAACAAAGGAAATGTTTTGACAAACTGTGTAATGCTTTTTAATCATGGAAAAATGACCTGACACATGTCATTATGTTGATATAAAAATATAAAGATGTGGTATGATTGCCAATGAGGCTTCTGTCTACAAAAGACCATATGACTAGAATTTAAAAACTAAACGTCACCATACGGCCTTCAACAATGACCCATTAAGCTTGTTTCATACTTCATACCAGATTGTTTCGTTTTTAAAAGAGCGACCTATCGTTCAGAAAGAAAATAACTCCATATATATCTATTATAGGTGTTGAAAACCATCAGTCGCGTTGATGGTGTACAGTTTCACCACTGTCTCATTTTAGGAGGGGGATGGGTGCTAACAAACATGATTAACTTAGTTACAGTCTTAATGTGACTATCCCAAGTCAGCAGAATAAAACCAAGTGATTTTCGATGGTTGCATATTTTGGGTCATTTTGTTTTTCTTTAATTGTTTTGTGATAAAATAGGTCGTTGTTGATCTCATTTAATCCTCCATTTTCTACATAAGAAAATGCCTATACCAAGTCAGGAATATGACAGTTGTTATCCATTCGTTTGATGTGTTTGAGCTTTTGATTTTGCCATTTCATTACGTACTTTCCGCTTTGAATTTTCCTGTGAGTTCGGTAGTTGTTATTTTACTTTTTATACAATTGTTTTACATTGTCTCGTCGGGAATGTGTTTTTTATAGCGGACTTACGGTGTGTGTTTTGAGTAAATCATTGTTAAAAGTCGGACAATGATTGATAGTTATTTACATTCACTTCAGTTGGGTTCTGGTAGATGTTTCATTTTGGAAATTGAACCACATCTTCTTATTGTTGTTATATTCAAACTTTTTATAAGGGGGTTAATGCATACATTTGTATATCTGTTTTAATTATAATCATTATCAATGAAAATTTAAGAACGAAACAAAGTTAGAATGAAGACTTTAGCAGTGATTCGCTGAAGACATCAGTAGTGATTGTCTTTGCCAATGACATGATTTATAATGTTGCATCTCAAGAATGGGGAAATAACAATAAATTTTCCGTTGATAATTTCAAAACTAAGATTACAACAACTTGTTGATACTAGATGAATTAGACAATTCTCAAGATGACTTTTGGTCAAAAAGATCTTCATGTATTCATGTATACATGCAATTTTGGCTTTCAAACGATATTGTTTGAGCATTTCTGTTGGTCAATGCAGGAAAGCGCTTCAGACGCATGACCTTTTATAAAGTCTTATTTTCATTTGCAGCTTAGTAGAAAATATTGTAGATGATGGACTGTTAGTTCCCGGCTGTATGATCAGCTCATAATCAGAAGTCACTGTTTCTGTACTGATATGATTTTTAACATAATGTTTTAATATTCCCCGTTGATGAATTATATATGCTTAAAAAACGAAACTTCCGATTACCTAAGGCACAGTTGGCCTTGGAGATATTTGACTATTCGTGGTATGCGACTTTTCACCATAGAACTGCTTACGTATGCATGTTTCCATCAAGTTCATATACCTTTTTTCTCAAATGTTTAGATGTGAGCGTTCCACATAAAGACGAGTGAAACCACTGATTGACTTATTCAGTGAAAAAAGTAAGCTTTTTAAATTAAGTACACGGACCGTAAAAAAAACAAATTCAAAATATACATATCAAATACAAAAAAGCAAAAAACAGATATGAAAAAACGAAGGAAAAAAGAATATATCAGACAATATTAACGTCGGACTCTGATTTGAAGCAATTACATTCCAATGGTTTATTTTGGAATAGATGGATGGTTAACCGAAAACATGTTATCACAATAACTTGCGAAATTGTTTGAATTATTTACCTTGAAGAAATAGTGATTCGTGTATCTTATAAATTTAGCCATTAACTGGTATCCATCATTACAATAAAATATGGTTTTTATAAATTAACGGTTTGTTTTACCTACAAACGTATTTGTGTGTTTGTGAAGTGTTGCTTTAATATTGTCTATTTTCGTCCGGAGAACTTTTTCAGGACACTCAAACTAAAACTTGAAAGTCAGGTATGTAAAAACACGTAGCAACATTAGAAACTACATGACCAAAAAAGATACTGCTACTTGTGGACTGTTAGTCTCCGGAAAATTATTTGCCTCAGTGAGTTGGTACCTTAGTTTCTGAATCATTTCTTAATTCATGAATATATATTTGTTGAAATGCATGTTATTGAAATTGTCAGTACCGAAACACTGATACTTAACTTATGATATCTTCGTGAACAAACAAGATTTTTGAAGATAAAAATGCAAAATACCTGTTTACTAAACTAAGTCGTATAGAAAAAGGGTATTTTAGATTGGACGCTATAATAACTGCATTTGATCCGTTAACATTACACCGCCTTAGTCTGTGAGTGTTATACTCAGTCCAGTAAACATGTCCATATTCGGAATCGATAGCTAAACCTGTTGGACCACTGCCTGTGTCGATAAATTTTTCCAATACTGGATTCTCAGTTGGATAAGGAAATCTATATGGAAAAAATATATAATAGTTTGAATTAGAATTAAATGTCTCAATACAAATTAAGGAGGTATGGTATTAATGGTATTGAGAACACTATCTACCAGAGACCAAGGAAATATGGTATGATTGGTATTGACAACAGTATCCGCCATGTGTGTTATGATTGGTATTGAGACCATTATCCACCTAGTATGGTATGATTGATATTGAAACCAGTATCCACCAGGTATGGTATGATTGGTATTAACACCAGTATCCACCAGAGCCAAAGATCAATAAGGAGGTATGGTATGATTGGTATTGAGACCAGTATCCACGAGAGATCATCAAAAGTAAAATCACAAAAAAACTGAACTCCGAGGAAAATTCAAAACGGAAAGTCCCTAATCAAATGGCAAAATCAAAAGCTCAAACACATCAAACGAATAGACAACAACTGTCATATTCCTGATATGGTACAGGCATTTTCTTTTGTAGAAAATGGTGGAATAAACCTGGTTTTATAGCGCTAAACCTCTCACTTGTACGACAGTCGCATCAAATTCCATGATATTGACAACGATGCATGAACAAAACAAACAGACATAATGGGTTAAAAAGTCAAAATTAGGGGTACAGCAGTCAACATTGTGTTATAATCTTAATCACAATAAAAACAAACAAATATTTAACAAAGAAGCACAAAAAAGCACATATCAAATTTAACAACCTCATTCATTGCTTTCTTATTTATGTATTTTATTTATGTATGTTAAATCCACCCATAAAGGATTGAAACATTTTAAGTACTTGGACCGAATGTTTAGATTAACATTAACTCTGACGTAGAATCGCGCGTTTGACGTCAGAATGTAAACGTCACACAGGTATAGATATAAAATAATTTTGTCGTTCAAAGTATGAAAAGAATATAGTCTATAGTTCTTTTAGGTACAATGTATATCCTCTGCAGGTTTACTTTGTTTACCTCTTGTCCATATGCTTATTGTGTAGTTCTTCTAAAAAAGAGCCACGTCATTATGTATCAAAGAAACACAAAATGGCATATAGACAAAGCATACAACTAGCAAATATGAGAGACAAGAATACAAAAATTATAATAGAACAATAACACAATGGCGGGATGTTTAAGTACAGAGCCACGTCATATGTATCAATGAAACACAAAAAGTCACACGGACAAAGCACATAAGCAAACATGAAAGATAATTCAAACAACACAATGAAGGGATGCATAAGTACAGAGCCACGTCAAATAGATATCACCAAAAACAGACCAAACAGGAAAAGTAATTTTAGTAAAGACAAATAAAAGAACACTATAACACGTTACTAAGATAATAAACAACGTCAGTACGCAGAATCTATACGTCAAGACCATCGTGTATTATATATTTGTGAAGTTGATACGGAATATTTATCATAAAGGTCTTGGAACCTTCCGATAACTTTTTTAGAAAACGTTTTACAAAGTCTGAGTAGGAGCTGCAAGCTCTTGAATACCGAATAAGTTGGGAAGAGGGACGAAAGATACCAGAGGGACTGTCAAACTAATAGATCGTAAACAAACTGACAACGCCATGGCCAAAAATAAAAAGACAAACAGACAAATAATAGTACAGATGACACACCATAGAAAAATAAAGACTAAGCAACACGAACCCCACCAAAAACTGGGAGTGATCTCAGGTGCTCTGGAAGGGTAAGCAGATCCTGCTCCACATGTGGCACCCGTCGTATTACTTATGTTATTACAAATCCGGTAAATAGTCTAATTCGGTAGGTCACATTCGTGAAAAGGGAAGGGTATTGTAGTTACGACATAAGGAACATATCCGATATCATCTTTGAAACGGTTATTCCATAACGGTCAACCAACTCGTGATGGCGTTCGGAAAATTTACGAAGGGATAATTTCAACTTCACCATTTGGAACTCTTGGTTTAATAGCTTCCTTGTGAGCAGCAAACCTCTATCAAGGAAATCATGATAGGAAAAACAAGTCCGGGAATATCGTATCAATTGGGCGATATATACTCCGTATGCAGGCGCTGCTGGAATTTTGCTACATAGAACTGAAAAGTTCATAATTGGGAAGCTGAAATCATCTCTTTTGTCGTAAAGTTTTGTTTTCAACCGACCCTCATTGTCAATTTCTAGATGTAAGTCAAGATATGAGGCAGACTTAACTGTATCTGTAGAATCCTTTATCTCTAGTTCGATGGGATAGATTCGTTCAACATAGTCACTAAATTTTGTATTATTTAGTGAGAGAACATCATCTATATAGCGGAACGTAAAGTTAAAGGATATTGCTAACTTCTTATCTTTCTTCCTAAGAAGTTCCTGTATGAAGTCAGCCTCATAATAATAAAGAAACAAGTCGGCAAGAAGAGGGGCACAATTGGTTACCATTGGAATTCCGACAGTCTGTTGAAATACACGTCCTCCAAACGAAACAAATATGTTTCAATCATGAAATCAAGCATCTTGATAATGTCAGTTTCAGAAAATGTTTTGTTTGAAATAGAGTGATTTTTTACAAATTAGGATTTATCCCTCCCCAAGACAAGATACTTGTATCTATGTTCGCCATTCTTTTTAATGAAACAAAGTAATACCAACTCTTTCAATTTGTCTTTTAGTTTGAAATTGGGAATACTTGTGTAAAGTGTAGAAAAGTCAAATGTTTTAATACTATTACAAGATGAGATAGTCTTAGATTGTATGTACTCTAAAAGATCTTTAGAATTTTTTTAGTAATAGATGACGACGGATATTTTCCAATTTTCGTAACCACAATCACGTCCTGTTTTCCACGAATGTGACATACTTAATTAGACACTATCATCAGATTGATACTAACATCAGCAACACGACACGACGGGTGCCACATGTGGAGAAGGATATGCTTACCCTTCCGGAACACTTGGGATCATCCATGTTTTTGGCTGGGTTCTTGTTGTTCAGTCTTAAGTTTTCTATGTTGTGTTTTATACAGCTGTTTGTCTTTTTGTCTTTTTATCTTTTTCTTTTTTTGCAATGGCGTTGTCAGTTTATTTTCGACTTATGAGTTTGAATGTCCCTTTAATATCTTTCGCCTCTCTATTTAATACTGCACTTATACCACCTATCATGTTACACATTGTAAGTTCAGATTCTGCGACAACTAATAATCTGTAATATTGCAATCGAGGAAACGAGAATAGGATTGTGTTCTATTCCAATATCGTAACGAGTCTGAATTGCCAGAAAACTTCTACCCTGTTGGAAAATCCTGTTTTGATCTGTTTTCCACTAATGTGATTTCCGCAGGTAATTCTGTTTTTATAGTAACCTTATCTGAATAGTTTTTGTTCTCTGCGTGATTCAAGGAATATATCATCTTAAAAGTAAAATAAAAACTCCAAGGGAAATGCAAAACGGAAAGTCCTTTATAAAATGGCAAAATCAAAAGCTCAAACACATATAAGAATGGAAAAAACTGTCATATTTCTTACCTGGTACAGTCATTTCCTTATGTGGAAAATATTGGATTAAACCTTGTTTTATAAGCTTGCTAAACCTCTCACTTGTATGACAGTCGCATTGAATTCCGTTATATTGACAACAACGTGTGAGCAAAACAAACAGACAAATAGGTAAACACTTCACAAATTGGGTACAGCAGTCAACATCTTAATATAATCTTAAACTGTTTCAACAAAGAAACACACAATGTCATATAGACAAAGTACACAAGCAAAAATCAAAGACAAGAATTCAAAATTGACCATAGCACAATAACACAATGGCGAGAGATGTCAAATCATAATACATTATAGGAACATATGGGTTACTTTTATCCAAAGTTATTTAGCAAAGCAAAATTTCCGTTGTTTATTGAAAATGTTCGATCGGTATTCATGGTATTGAAGATATAAAAGAAGCAGAATATACCGAAGGATCATTGAAAAGTCATCAGGCGAAGAAAAACACAACACGGCAAAAAAACCGAATAAACAGTGCGTAAAACAATATACAAAAACCTCGCCAATAAACTGAGGATTTGGGATAGACACATGAATATGTGGCAGAATAAAAGTAGTTTTTTGAGATCTTAAGCCCCCTCATTTAATTTCGATCAGTTCAAAATATCCATATAAGAACATATAATACAAATCTGTACAGGAAAAACCACTTAATCTTAAGATAAAGTATATTAGATAACAACAAACATAAATAACTAGCAATGATGTCGTAATATAGAAGGCTCGTATTTACGAAAAGTAAGCTCAAGTACCTAATCTGTTAGATAACAAACATAAATAACCAGCAACGATGTCGTAATATAGAATACTCGTAATTACGAAAAGTAAGCTCAAGTACCTAATCTGTTAGATAACAAACATAAATAACCAGCAATGATGTCGTAATATAGAATACTCGTAATCACGAAAAGTAAGCTCAAGTACCTAATCTGTTAGATAACAAACATAAATAACCAGCAATGATGTCCTAATATAGAATACTCGTAATTACGAAAAGTAAGCTCAAGTACCTAATCTGTTAGATAAAAAACATAAATAACCAGCAATGATGTCGTAATATAGAATACTCGTAGTTACGAAAAGTAAGCTCAAGTACCTAATCTGTTAGATAACAACAAACATAAATAACTAGCAATGATGTCGGAATATAGAATACTCGTAATTACGAAAAGTAAGCTCAAGTATCTAATCTGTTAGATAACAACAAACATAAATAACCAGCAATGATGTCGTAATAAAGAATACTCGTAATTACGAAAAGTAAGTTCAAGTATCTAATCTGTTAGATAACAACAAACATAAATAACCAGCAATGATGGCGTAATATAGAATGCTCGTAATTACGATAAGCAAGCTCAAGTACATAGGAAATTTTGCCGTCATACTCTTTATAGATATTCGGAAATGAATTGAAAAATTTCGAATTCTTTAGTAAGATATTTAGCTACTGTTATTGCATAAACTTAACAATTCATTGTATTATAAAACTAAATGTATCAATTGTAACTGAATCTCAACATTTATCTTCTGTTAAGGCTTATGTCTATATCAAACAATATACATACCGCATTATGGAACGATGATGATATCTTGTAAAATACATATATTTGAATTTGTAATCGTAATCCATGCCATACATTTCTCCACGGGCATCGTTAACAAGTATCTTGACATTGCCTGTATCGACATCAATCTCCTTAATTTGGACTTTGGTTCCAATTAAAACTTTGGTACCTTTTAATAAATATTGCTAATTTTTATTCTAAACATAATATGCAAATTTTAATTTTAAAACTATTTTGCCTCACCTTAGCAGCAATATTCCAACTTCACCAGCGTTATGGTATATATATATCTTAACTCAAACGATATTCAAGAGCTCGCATCTGCTTCTCAGACTGTAAAACGTCATCGGTGTCTGAGGAAAACATTAATGATCTCGGGTTTTGTCAAAAAACGTCTCGTCCTGTTTCTCAAAAAGTTCATCGGAAAATACCAAAGCCTAAATAATACAAAATTGGTTCTGAGTTATAGATTCTAGGTGCTGATCTTGTGTAACTTTTTATTTTTATCTAGTTTCCGTGCTATTTGTCTTCATGCTATTAAGTCTCTTTTGGACGTATGGCTTTAGACATGACTAGGTATTTAAACATCCCACCATCGTTTGGTTTCTACTTTTTAACTTGGAACTTCCTAGTGACAAATCAGACATAAAGGTTTTTACACATGTAACAGTGTTGTTTTTATTTTGTTTACCCTTGCATTTATTTGAAGTAAATTAATTCTTATATAATCGAGAAAGTGTTTATACTATAAACGCTATGTACTATCAACGACAAAAACTATTTTGTGGACCTATTTGTTTACTTTAAACGATCGAAGCGCTTTCCTTGATAGACCTTCATTAGAAACGATCAAAGGTAAACAATTTAAGCCAGGAATGCGTCAATGCACTGCAACGTTAGAAGCTATTTGATTGAAACGGAAAGCCAAATTCAAATAACTGGCATGTTCACTTTAAATGAACTTCAATTACAAATGAAAGTTTGTAGCAAAAAACATTTAGTCTAGTAACGGTAACACCGATACATCATAACAACATTAACGGTACCAATAGATGAAAATAAATGTCTCATCAGTTGTAGCTGACTGATAAGACATATCTGTTTCTCTTTAGAAATGTTTAAGACATTACAGATCATTTATTAGAAAACTGTTTGTTAGATCTGCACTTACCGATAATCTTAATAAAATTTTGAAAATGTCCGTACTAAGTCAGAAATATGACTGTTACTATTCGATTTGTTGGTTGATCTAGTCGAGCGTGTGACTTTGTCCGGTGTTATGGGCTTTCTCCTTTTTTTAAATTACCTGGGTGTTTGGTATTTTTGTAAAATCTTTTTTGTTTTCTTTGGATACGTATACACGATGAAATACTCTGTGCAAAGAGAAGGTAACTATGATATTGGTTATAAAAAGTGAAATCACAAATATACCGAACTCCAAGGAAAAATTCAAAACGGAGAGTCCCTTATCAAATGAAAAAATTAAAAGCTCAAGCATATAAAGACGAATGGATAACAACTGTCATATTCCTGACTTGGTACAGGCATTTTCTTATGTAGATAATAGTGGATTAAACCTGACACAAAAATATACTGTATTGTAGGTTAAACAAAACCGACATAACTAAGATACTATTCAGTACACTACAACAGTTGACTACTTCATTGTACTTATCGGATTTATTGTGTTATCTCGCCAAAATAATACGCAGTAGGATTACTATGAATTGTTCCAAATACTAAGGATTTTCTTATCCCAGGCATAGATTACCTTTTCCGTATTTGGCACAACTTTTTGGAATTTTGGGTCCTCAATGCTTTCAATTTTGTACTTGTTTAAAACTATTTTGATCTGAGCGTCACTGATGAGTCTTATGTAGACGAAACGCGTGTCTGGCGTATAAAATTATAAGCCTGGTACCTTTGATAACTAATTATAAATGACCACCTTTCAAACATGATTATAAAAGTTAATCAAAAGTATAAACCAAATACAAAATTAATGCCACTAGTACCCTTATAACAGACACCTTGACAAAACAGGAGGGAAAGGAAAAATATCAAACATAACACAGAAACCTTGATTGAGCAAAATGAGCACATTACACTCCGGAGTTCACTCATGTCCTCTCAATACAAATCAGTACAAGTCTGAAATGGCCTGTTCTCAATTGTACTCATTTTACTCGATCAGTCTGAATTGGTCTGAAATTTACTTGATAATACTCCACTGTAGTCTGAACCATACTTAACAGTCTGAACTTGTACTCGACCAGTACGTAACCATTTATACGCGTCTGAACCATGCTCGCCATAGTCTGAACCATGCTCGACCTAGTCTGAACCATACTCGACCTAGTCTGCACCATACTCGACCTAGTTTTAACCATACTCGACCTAGTCTGAACCATACTCGACCTAGTCTGAACCATACTCGACCTAGTCTTAACCATACTCGACCTAGTCTTAACCAACCTAGACCTATTTTTTGTATCTATCTATTGTATTTCATCAATTTAAGAACTGTTTTTAACAACAGCTATTTCCCCTGGCTAGAAACTTGTACAACAATTTGAAATTAAAAATGTATTCAATATAGTATTGAAACCAAAATTTAACAATAAACATAATATAGCTTCAACACCATATTTATCAACACTTACATATATCTATATATCACCTTTAAAATAGAAATGACACAAGCTGATCAAATAATCTCAAAACTGAATTGTGACTCATATTTTCAATGTTATTCAAACTTTTTGAATGTTTCAGATATATTTCATGGTTACTGGACAATTTTCACCATTAACTTAAGCCTAGTATAGGTTTATGGTGTCAGTTGAGTTTAGTTTATAATGCAGTGAACATTTTTTTTTTTATCAAAATATGTTTAAAATAGTATATAAAGCAACTTAAAATCACAAAAATACTGAACTCCGGGGAAAATTCAAAAACGGAAAGTCGCTAATCAAATGGAAAAATCAAAAGCTCAAACACATCAAACGAATGGATAAGAACTGTCATATTCCTGACTTGGTACAGGCATTTTCTTATGTAGAAAACGGTGGATTAAACCTGGTTTTATAGCGCTAAATCTCTCACTTGTATGACAGTTGCATAAAATTACATTATATTGACAACGATGTGGGAACAAAACAAGCAGACATAATAGGTAAAAATGTCAAAAATAGGGTACAGCAGTCAACATTGTGTTATCATCCTAATCCCTATAAAAACAAAAAACATATATTAACAAACATTTACAATGGCACAATAATGCAATGACGGGATGTATAAGTAGAGAGCCACGTCATATGTAAGAAAGAAACAAAAAAAAAGAGCATATAGACAAAGCCTATTAGCAAACATTAAAGACAAGCATACAGAAATTTTTATAGAACAATAACACAATGACGGGATGAATAAGTACAAAACCACGTCATAAGTAACAAAGAAACACAAAATGGCATATATACAAAGCATATTGGCAAAACTTATCATAGAACAATAACATGTATAAGTACAGAGCCACATCAAAGGGATACTAAGAGTATTGGAGTTCCCACAATAAATCAACCCTTACCTGGGATTTACAGATATCACCTTTAAATTTTATCTTACCTCAGTCAAACTATATTAGCATCAATTTGAAATGTTTAGAATTAGACTGATAAAAAAAGCATCTGTTTCTATGTAATTATATATTTTATACTTACATCGAATCATAGGCAGAAAATAAAACTCCAAGGGTATGACAAGCCAAATTTGTACATCCATCCTCATGTAAGATAACGAAATAAATGCGTTTGATAACGTTTGACAGGTAAAATCAACATACAGTTTTAATTTACATATCAAAATTTTCCGGTTTCAAATTTAGATACGACAATTTGAAAAAATCTGTAATCTTATACATATCTTGTAACAGGTAAGATTATCTTAAATTTTGATTGTCATCTTAATATTAACAAATAATAAATTAAAACATGACAAATTTAAAGTAGTTTGAAACCTTGCACTGAGCCGGAACGTCCAGGTCAATGAACTGTAAGCATCAATTTTACGCTGATACCTTACTCGCCTCAAGCTCTCTACAAATATTTGTAATTTTCCTATTTACAGTTTCCTCTGATTTTTTTTACAAGAAAACAATATAAATCAATTGAAGAAGTTAATTTCAAATTATCTTTTATTTTTTAAGAGAAATTTCAAGTCACAAATCATTTCAAAGAAAACTTAAGTTAGAGCAACATGAATTTCACGAAAACAGGGCAAACAATTTAAACTGTTAGAGAAGTAATAATCATTTTGAGGATGAAAAGTACAAATTAGTTCATAAGTCACATGATATTTTGTCTAAGTCATAAACGAAAAGACTTTTCTGGATGTCTTTATTTTGTGCAAACGAATTACGTCTCAGAGTTTTCCTCTACTATATTTGTTGTTTGGTTACTGTCTCATTGTCATACGCCCAATGTTATTTCTAGATATATTTACATGATCTGTGCTGAGAAGATTAAAGCAGTACTTATTTTCATTGACAAAATCCATGAACGATTCGGCGATAAAGTTTATCGACAGGTTGTATGTAATGCTCTTGGCACCAATTGAGTCCCTCTTATAACGAATTTGTTCCTGTATTGTTATGAATCACAGTGGATGGCCAATTTGAGTAAAAATACATATCAATATAAAAATAAGGAGATGTGGTATGATTGTCAATGTGACAACTATCCACCAAAGTTCAAATGAAGTGGTTATGACTTCATTTAGATGATTAATATATAAAAACACTTACCTAATGATATTTTTGGTCAGATAATCGATAATTCTATAAATTTTCCTTCCGCCTGTTGATAACATATACTTAAGTTCATACTATTCCTAGACTGTTTTTAACATATTTACAAATCTATTCCTTTGGGATACCATACGGCATACTTTGTTAATAGTGAACAAAAAGGTAAAACATGCTACACAGAGGAACAAGTGATCAGTCTGCTGGAGTTTCTCATTGACAACATATTTGTTGCATTTGCAGGAAGACTTTTTTCAGGAGGACTTACCATGTTTGTATTGGATACCTAAGCTTCACAAAATTCCGTACAAACAACAGTACATTGCCGGCTCATCTGCATGTTCGACGAAAGAATTGTCCATTAGATTGACAAAGATTCTGTCCGCAGTGAAAGAGGGTCTTCAGAAATACTGTGAAACTGTTTACTCGCGTAGTGTTATTAACCATATGTGGATTATAAAAAACTCTAAAGAACTTCTGGATAATTTTAAATCTCGATCTTTCTCTGAAATAAGTTCTATCAAAACTTTTGATTTTTAAACCCTCTATACCACCATTCCCCATGTGAAATTAAAAAATCGTCTAAAAGAAATAGTTCACAATGCTTTTCAACATAAAAATGGTAGCATACGCTATAAATTTATTACTTTGGGATACCATACGGCATATTTTGTTAATATTGAACAAAAAAGTAAAACATGCTACACAGAGGAACAAGTGATCAGTATATATGCTGGAGTTTCTTATTGACAACATATTTGTAGATTTTGGAGATAAACAAAAAATTGTCGGCATTCCTATGGGAACGAACTGTGTGTCTCTCCTTGTCGACCTCTTCTTATGTTCATATGAGTCGGAGTTTCTTCAGACACTTGTCAAAAACAAGAAGATCAAAGAAGTCAGATCATTTAAATTTACATTCAGATATATTGATGATGTTCTTTCCATTAACAATCCAAACTTTTCTGATAAGGTTCCATTAATATATCCTCCAGAACTAGAAATTAAAAAAAACAACAGACACGACTTCCTCTGCCTCATTTTTAGATTTATACCTCGAATTTGACATAAGCGGTCATCTCAGTACCAGAATCTATGACAAACGAGACGATTTTAATTTTTAAATCATCAATTTCCCCCACCTTAGTAGCAATATACCAACTTCACCTGCATATGGGATATACATTTCACAACTCATTCGTTATTCAAGAGCTTGCAGCTGCTACTCAGACTTTGTAAAACGTCACCACTGTCTTAGCAGAAAGTTGATGAACCAGGGGTATGTCAAAGAACGTATCGTCCTTTTTCTAAAAAAGTTCATCGGAGGATACCAAGACCTTGTTGATAAATATTCCGTATCAATTTCACAAATAATACACGATGATCTTGAAGTATAGATTCTAGGCACTGACGTTGTTTATTGTCTTAATAACGTGTTATATAGTATTCTATTATATGTCTTTGTAAATAAGTACTTTCACTGTTTAGTCTATTTTTGGTAATATCCATTTGTCGTGGCTCGGTACTTGTACATCCCGTCATTGTGTTATTGTGCTATGGTAAAATTTTGTATTCTTGTCTTTTGTCTTTGCTTATGTGCCTTGTGTATACTTTAATCGATATAATAAAACAACTTACGACGAATTGACTTCATAAATTGTAATCAAGTATGATTGTAAAGCCAATGATATTATACACTGATATAGATCGTTGGTTTTATGGCTATCCTAAATGTTCAGGCATAAATGTTTCAAATCAATTTTAAAATTGTAAATGATATGTTGAGAGAGAACATTCAACTGTGTCACTACCTTGTCAATTGTATAGTTTGTTATAAAAGGCATAGAAGTGACTAAAGGAAAATTTTACGGCCTGCTTTATGCTAAAACAATAAGAGGAGAAAGGTATAAACGACAATTCCTTGCTTGTGGGATCCAAGCTTGGTACGGGCATATAAAGAATGTGGTGGGGTTTAATATGCTTGGTGGATTAATTCGTAGATAATTGTCTAATTGGCATAATACCACATCTTCTTATTTTCATGTTGTGTGCGATCATCCTTCCTGAAACATGAGACACAAATGTAACAACACAATGTAAAGAGTATAAATATCAGTTTGAAAATACTGTACTCATCTGATCGGTACTGAACACGGAAACAAATAAAAAAGACATAAAGTATCAATCTAAGAGTACTCAACATTACTGAACGCTAATTCAAAACCCAATTTTGACTAGTAATAAATACAAAGGAATTAGTACACCACCAACAGAGTGAGTGTCAGTACGTCATAACCAGTCTCAAAATTGCACGAGCTTGTGCAATTCCAAAATTTAGTATCGACAGGATATAGGACCAAAATATAAGGCCTATTCAAGATGATTTCACTATGAATTCAATGTTGTCAGAAAAATAAAACAACATTTCTTTCTTACAACTTTTGTTGTAAAAATACAGAAAATATTAGTGCTTAAGGGAATTCAACATCGAAAAGACACAACACCACTGCCAACCTCAAAGAAAAGTCGAACGGAAAATAACATTATACAAAACAGCTAACGTTTAACAACATAATTCAGATAAAAAAAATCACATATCCAAGCAAATCTTTGATTTTGCAGTATCTTGTCTTAGGAATAAAACATGAAATAAGTCACGGTTGAAAGTGTTGTCTTGATGAGGTAAATGTTTGGCCGTCGATAAACCTTTAAGGCACAACTAATGTGAATTCCTTAGGTTTTGTTTGTCTTCTTAATCGATATATGATAAATGAAGATTCATAAATAGTAGTAACAAATCTTCAAATGGCTTCAATAAAATGTCAAAGGGACCTCTTTACCCTTGGTTCAGTGGCTTCCTTATAGGCAGTGATCAACGAGATCATTATAAGAAAAGCAACTTCAGGGATATCGTACCACCTGGTATATACATTCTCCATATGCTAGCACTTTTTGTGTTTTGCTAAATAGAAATTGAAAGTAAATAATGTGAACACTGAAAACATCTGTTTCCTCAAAAAGTGTAGTTTTAAACCGACCCTCGTTGTCAAGAAGTAAGTCAAGATGTGAGGCATGCTTACATCTTGAAATTGACATCGAGGGTCCTACGTTTAACGCTGATGTTGTTAACCGAGCCCGGAAATTTAGATACGATCCGGGTAAACTTATCAATCCTTTAAATAAACGTATTCTAAAAGTTTACCTATTCAACACTGTAATTAAATACTAGTATTTGAATATTGTTTTTATTGGTATGAATATTGATTTTGTTATCGGTAAATTACAATTATACGAACTATTACTCATATGTACTGTCACAATACTTCACTCTATCGATGCCTTTATTTTTGGCATTGCACAATGTCATGTTTTCCTCTGACTGTTAATGACGTCTTTACACTAAATTCATTGGATGTTGGATGTGTACTGATTGCTATTTTTGTCTTAGAAACATGATTTTTATTAGTTGTTGTTGGGTTTTAACTAGCTGTCAGCTAACTGCGACTACTCTCAGATATATTCTTAGAGGCTTTTTTTTTGTTGTTACGGATGAGGTGTGGATATATACCCTGCCACGTCCTATCTAAATTGTTTTCTTTGTATCGATCTGATAAGTTAAGCCTTTTTTCAACTGATTTGTATAGTTTGTTCTTATGTTGTGATGTTATACCACTGTCCCAGGTTAGTTTTCCAGAGGAGCGCTCACAAACACATGTTTAATCCCGCCGCATTAAGTATGTGCCTGTCCCAAGTCAGGAGCCTATAGTTCAGTGGTTGTCACTGAGTCATGTCTGTCATATTTGTTTTTCATAAATTGTTTTGTTATAAATTAGTCCGTTAGATTTCTCATTTGAATTGTTTCATATTTTTCATGTCGGGGCCTTTTATAGCCGACTATACGGAATTGATTCTTCTCAATGTTGAAGGCCGAGCGGTTGTCTATAATTGTTTACATCCACTTCATTTGAGCTTTGGTGGATAGTT